TTTTGTTTTGGGGTTTTTTTGTTTGTTTGTTTGTTTGTTTTTCCAGACAGGGTTTCTCTGTGGTTTTGGAGCCTGTCCTGGAACTAGCTCTTGTAGACCAGGCTGGTGGTCTTGAACTCACAGAGATCCGCCTGCCTCTGCCTCCCAAGTGCTGGGATTAAAGGCTTGCACCACCACGGCCGGGCAGAGCTACATCTCTAGTAGTATTCAAGCTGAAATTCTTGAAGGATATAAATGGTCCTGGGTTGATAATACGCTCTGGTAACTACAAAAAAGCAAATAGAAACAGTGTAGTGGTGAAAGCCTAAAATCCCAGCACTTGGGACTCAGGAGCAGGAGTTCAAGGCCACCCTCTGCTACCTAGAAAGTTCAAGGCAGGCCTGAACTACGGAAACTTTGTTGCAAAGAAGGCAAAAAAAAAAAAAAAAAAAAAAAAAAAACATCCAGGTTGTCTCACTCCTTTAATCCCAGCACTGAGGAGGCAGAGGCCAGGCAGGTGGACCTCTAAATTCAAGGCCAGCCTGATTCTACAGATTGAGTCCCTGGACGACAGCCAGGCTACACAAAGAAACCCTGTATCAAAAACAAACAAAAAGAAGAGTTCAAGGTCATCCTGAGCTTGTGAATTTGAAGCCAGCCTAAGCTAAATGAGATGGTGTCTCTTAAAGACTCACTATGTAGCTCTTGCCTGGAACTCATTGTGTACAAGAGATTCTCCTGACTCTGTCTCCTAAGGAGAGGAGACCCTGTCTTAAGAAATCAAAACTAAGCCTGGTGGTGGTGGTGGCCCACGCCTTTAATCCCAGCACTTGGGAGGCTGAGGTAGGCTGATCTCTGTGACTTTGAGGCCAGCCTGGTCTACAAGAGCTACTTCCAGGACAGGATCCAAAGCTACAGAGAAACCCTGTCTCAAAAAAACCAAAAAAAAAAAAAAAAAAAGAAATCAAAACAAAAATACAACCCCTACCAGGCCACCCTCACAAACCAAAACAAGTGTGCACTCTTCCAGAAAGAAAATAAGTTCAATTTATATGTTTGCAGTCCTGAAGTCAAATCAAATATGAGCTTGTAACTAGCTTGGACTAGAGAGATAGCTCAGTGGTTAAGAGCACTGGCTCTCCTTCTAAAGGACCCAAGTTCAATTCTTATCACCCATATGGTGACTCATAACCATCTCCAGTTCTGGAGACTCTTACACCCTCTCCTGGCCTCTACATGTACCAAACATCCAAACGGTGCACAGACATACATGCCAACAAAACACCCATATACAAATTAATTAAATATCCAGGTATGCAAACACACACATATATACACACTAGATATACATATACACACGATGAAAGAAACTAAAAAAAAAATAGCTAACAGTGCTGAGTAAGGTAGCACACACCTGTAATCTCATCTCTTGAAAAGTAGATGCAAGAGGATCAGGAGTTCAAGGTTATCCTTGGATAGCTAGCAAGTTTGATACCAGCCTGTCTCAAACAAACCAAAGAAATAACAAGAATACCCACCAGAGCACAGAGGGTTGCACAGTATTCAGGACCCTGGTAGACTGGAGACTCGGGAGAACCACAGGCTCCACTTGTGGCTCACCGGGTCTAGTTCCACCTTGGCTACATGTGGTCCTCTGTCCCCTGCCATTTGTGCAGGATGCCCCCCTTGGACAGGCCCTTGCCCACAGACAGTGATCTCAGAGGATTTCTTTCCTAGACTGTCATGGGCTGTGAACCACCATACATGGCTGAATTAGCATTTACCAGCCATGTCCAGACCTGGTCATGATCTTTGTGATCCCCCTTTCCCAACTTCCACAGTCTAGAGCCAGCAGAAAGCACCTATAGACTAAGGGTGGCACTCAATCTCCCTGGGCTGGTACCATCACCTCCAAAGTCTTTGGGGCGCCCACCCTCACAGACATGAATGTCCCAAGTTACCTTCTGTTCTGTCTTGACTTTGGCATTGTAAAAGGAGATGGAATCAGGACCCTCAGGCAGTACAGTCTGCTGCAGCTGGCTGAACCTATCCTGGTCATCTTCTCCCTAGGAAAGACCCAACCCAGCATAGTATCTCAGCCTGGAATCATCACAATGAACCCTGGCAGGGCCTGTACTGAGCATTGGCACAGTCCCTTGCTGGGTTTGCAAATCCACACAGAGCATCTCCTTCTCTAGCACCACGTCTGCCTACATGCCACCATGTCCTGCCATGATGATAATGGACTAAACCTCTGAAACTATGAGCAAGCCCCAGTTAAACATTTTCCTTTATAACAGTTGCCATGGTGATGTGGAAAGCCATTATAAATGCTGCAAATATGTGTTGCTTTTATTGGTTGATGAATAAAGCTGTGTTGAGGGCTGGAGAGATGGCTCAGTGGTTGAGAGCACTGGTTGCTCTTCCAGAGGACCAGAGTTCGGTTCCCAGTACCCACATGGCGGCTCGCAGCTGTCTGTGACTCCAGCTCCAGGGGACCTATACCCTCAGACAGACATATATGAAGGCAAACTCTCAATGTGTATTAAATAAATCTAAAAAAAAAAAAAAGAATAAAGCTGTGTTGGCCTATGGCAGGGCAGAATATAGCTAGGTGGGAAAGCCAAACTAAATACAGGAAAAAAGAAGGTGGAGTCTGGGAGATGCAGCAGCTGTCAGAAAAGCAAGATATGAGGTAACAAGCCACAAGCCTTGTGGCAAAATATAGAATAGAAATGGGTTAATTTAAGATACAAGAGCTAGTTAATAATAGCCTGAGTTAATAGGCTGATGTGGGAGTGTCATATATCAATCTGTTGATTTCATTGGTTAAGTAATAAACACACTGCTTGGCCTCATAGCTTAGAACATAGGTGGGTGGAATAAACAGAATAGGATGCTGGGCGGAAGAGGAAGTGAGGTCAGACTCTGCTCTGCTCCCAGAGAGACGCCATGCTCAGCTCTGCTGGATAGACACGATAGCTCTGTGCTCTGAGGCAGAGGCATGAAGCTCCCCAGGATGGACGTAGGTTAGAATCTTCCAGTAAGCACACCTTGGGGTGCTTACACACATTACTAGAAATGGGCTAGTCCAGGTGCGAGAGTTAGCCTAGAAGAGACTAGATAGAAATGGGTCAAACAGTTAAATGAATACAGTTTGTGTGTTGTTATTTCGGGCATAAGCTAGCCAAGCGGCCGGGGTGTTGGGGACGCAGCCCCGCCGCTTCTTATTTCAACAATAGGCCAAAACAGTTTATAATTAATATTAAGTCTCAGAATAGTTATTCAGGAACTGACAGGTGGGAGAGAAACCTCCAGTTACACTGGCCATAGTGTTTTTTCACAGCAACAGAAATGCTAACTAAGACTCTCTCTCTCCCTCTCAACATTCATGTATGTATATACATAATATACATATACAAAAGCAGGCACTTTTGTCTGCATGTACATCTGCACACCAGAAGAAAGAATTGGATTTCATGGGACTATAATTATAGATGGTTGAGAGCCACCATGTGGATGTGGGAATTGAATTGAAAGCCTCTGGAAGAGCAGCCAGTGATCTGAACCTCTGTGCCATCTCTCCAGCCCCTATGTATCTCTGGTTAAGGTTTGTTCTGGCTGGTTTTTGTCTTCTTGACATAAACCTAGATATGTCTGGGAAGAAAGACTTCAACTTAAGGAATTCACTCCACAGGGTGGCCTTTAGGCCAGTCTCTGGGCATTTTCTTGATTAATAAAGGGAAAGTGATCCTGGGTTGTAAAGAAAGCAGACTGGGGGCTGGAGAGATGGCTCAGAGGTTAAGAGCACTAGCTGCTCTTCCAGAGTCCTGAGTTCAATTCCCAGCACCCACATGGTGGCTCACAACCATCTGTAATTCGATCTGGTTCCCTCTCCTGGCATTCAGACAGAATACTGTATACATAATAAATTAATTAATTTTTTAAAAAGCAGGCTGAGGAGCTAGGGAGATGGCTCAGTGGTTAGGAGCACTGGCTGCTCTTCCAGAGACTTGGGTTCCACTCTCATCACTCACACAGTAGCTTAGAGCTGTAGGAACTCCAGTTCCATGGGAACCAGCACTTTCTTCTGAACTCTGAGCACCAGGCTCACAGGTAGTGCATACACATACATGCATGCAGGCAAACACTCATACACATACAGTGTTTTTAAAAAAGACAAAGGGGTGGGGAGAAAAGCTGAGCAGCCATGGGGAGCAAGCAATTATGCAAGCTATTATCATTCCTCCATGGTCTCTGTCTTAGTTCCTATCTCTGGGTTCCTGCCCTAACTTCCTTTCATGATCTAGCTTACAGCTACAACCATAAGCTGAAATAAACCCTTTCTTTCCCCACAGTTGCTTTGGAAACCTAACTAAGATAGGATTTTTTAAAAAAATATTTATTTATTATGTATACAATATTCTGTCCGTGTGTATGCCTGCAGGCCAGAAGAGGGCACCAGACCCCATTACAGATGGCTGTGAGCCACCATGTGGTTGCTGGGAATTGAACTCAGGACCTTTGGAAGAGCAGGCAATGCTCTTAACCTCTGAGCCATCTCTCCAGCCCAAGATAGGATTTTTTTTTTAATGTATATGTTTATGTCTGTGCTGTTATATGCCACATGTGTGCTATTGCCTGCAAAGGCCAGAAGAGGATATTGGAACTGGAGCTGGAATTACAGATAGTTGTGAGCTGCCTGACATGGGTGCAGAGAACCAAAGTCAGATCCTCTAGAAGAGCAGCAAGGACTCTTAACTGCTGGGCCATCCTGCTAGCTCTGTGTTTCGCCTTTCAATAACTGAGGAACGTACACTTGCCTCCCAACCTGGGCACTGGCAGCATTAGACATCAATTTATGGAAGAGGTAGAATTACCCACATTACTGCTTTATTTAACTCCCTGTATTTAACTCTTCACCACCTTCATACCCTTGTGCTGCTCACCAGAGACACAATCCTGTTGACAGGTACCATGCCTGGCCGGATACTGCTGCCCTGCTTTAGTGCTGCCTGAACATCCTCTGGGATGACAAAGGACTCATTGTACCAGATGTCAAATTCTGCAAGAGTCAGAGAGACAGCACTGTGGGTAGGAGGGAGCCTGTGAGGAAGGAGGCAAAAGCTATTGCAGGCTCACCTCTATTTACTTCCTGCTCCAGCAGCTCCCTCTTATCCCTATCCCAGCCTTCATAGCCCTGGAAACCACACTTCTGAAGCCCCTAAGCCCTGGCTCTTCAGTGAACAAGTCAGAGAACACTTCCAGAACTGATACTTGGCCTTGCCCTGAGGCCTCTCTTGACCTCAAGGAGCCCGCAAACCTTCCCAATTGGAATACCCAGTAGCAGGCGGTGGCGACACTGATCCACCAGGCGCTGGCAGTACTGGATCTCAGCTCTGAGGTCTCGCAGTTCTTGGTACTCATTTCGATACTGCGTCTTCAGGTCTTTGAGCTTCAGGATCAGCAGAAATTCCTCCTCGTCAATGATCATCAGGCCTTTATTCTCGTACTCACCTGCCGGGTGATGGGAGAGGTCAGGAATGAGGCAGTTGCCATTCAGCATAGGAGAAGGAAGTTGTTCCAAAAAGAAGACAATGTTGGAGAGATGGCTCAGTCTTTAAGAGCACTGGCTGCTCTTCCAGAGGTCCTGAGATCAACTCCCAGCAACCACATGGTGGCTCACAACCATCTGTAATGAGATCTGGTGCCTTCTTCTGGCATGCGGGCATACATGGAGGCAGAATGTTGTATATATAATAAATAAATCTAAAAAAAAAAAAAAGGACAATGCTGACAGATCCCATGTGTCAGAGGCATGGGTGGGTGTAACAAGGAGTGGGCAAAGCACAAGAACGCTAGGCCATGCCAGCACACCCACAGGTAGGTGCTCATTAGCTCAGTGGGGACTGACTGGTATTTCAGAACAAACAGGAGGGATAGTGGGCAAAGGAGAGGACAGAGAGGAGTCATTTATCAAGCTTATTTTGATCTTATCCCATCAGCCAAAGATATTCATTCTTTTTTTTTAAGATTTTTTTAAATATTTATTTATTTATTATGTATACAATATTTTGTCTGTGTGTATGTCTGCAGGCCAGAAGAGGGCGCCAGATCTCATTACAGATGGATGTGAGCCATCATTTGGTTGCTGGGAATTGAACTCAGGACCTTTGGAAGAGCAGGCAATGCTCTTAACCACTGAGCCATCTCTCCAGCCCTAAGATTTATTTATTTATTATGTATACAATGTTCTGTCTGCAGGTATGCCTGCAGCCAGAAGAGGGTACCAGATCTCATTACAGATGGATGTGAGCCACCATGTGGTTGCTGGGAATTGAACTCAGGACCTTTGGAAGAGCAGGCAATGCTCTTAACCTCTGAGCCATCTCTCCAGCCCTTTAAAACAATTTTTTATGGTTTATTTAACTTTTATGTGCATTGGTGTGAAGGTGTCAGATCCCTTGCAACTCGATCTTCAGACAGCTGTGAGCTGCCATGTGGGTGCTGGGAATTGAACCCGGGTCCTCTGGAAGAGCAGTCAGTGCTCTTAACCACTGATCTATCACTCCAGCCCCCAAGATATTCATTCTTTAAAGACTTTTTTTTTAGAGTCAAATAAATAAATAGGGGCTGGAGAGATGGCTCAGCGGTTAAGAACTGGATGCTCCTCCAGAGGACCTGGGTTCTAATTACTAGCACCCACATGGCAGCTCACAACTGTATGTAACTCCAGGTCTTGGGTAGTGACACCCTCACACAAATATACACGTGCAGGGCAAAACACCAAAACACAAAATTAAAATAAATAAAGATAGATAAGATAGGTGCAGGGCAAAACACCAAAACACAAAATTAAAATAAATAAAGATAGATAAGATAGACAGATAGGCCGGGCAGTGGTGGCGCACGCCTTTAATCCCACACTTGGAAGGCAGAGGCAGGCGGATCTTTGTGAGTTCGAGACCAGCCTGGTCTACAAGAGCTAGTTCCAGGACAGGCTCCAAAACCACAGAGAAACCCTGTCTCGAAAAACCAAAAAAAAAAAAAAAAAAAGGAAGGTAGGTAGGTAGATCAGTCAATCCTCAGGGATTAGTAGGAGGCCAATATAGAAAGTAGACATTAATTTTCTAGGGTTTAAGGACAGCCTAAAGCTGGCAGCAGTGGCCAAATCTTGGTGTGTGTGTGTGTGTGTGTGTGTGTGTGTGTGTGTGTGTAACATGCTCACCCCAAGTCTTAGACCATGAACACTTGCATTCCTGAAAGGCCCAGACCTCTAATATAACTCATGCACCTTGTCCTGACCTTTATTTCCAGGCAGGGCTTGTGGATGAAGCTTTGGACCTGGGGTTGCTCCTTTTTCTTTTTTTTTTAGGTTTATTTATTTATTATGTATAGTGTTTTGCCTGTATGTATGCTGCAGGCCAGAAGAGGGCACCAGACCTCATTACAGATGGTCCTGAGCCACCATGTGGTTGCTGGGAATTGAACTCAGGACCTCAGGAAAAGCAGCCAATACTCTTAACCTCTGAGCCATCTCTCCAGCCCCTCCTTTTTTCTGTCAAACCTGGGAAGATTAGAACTCTGTAGCGTGTTGGCTGGCTTTCCTCCCCTCTGGCTGCAGGGATTAGTTGTGCTATTAGCCATTGACTTTGTCAGTTTGGTGAGAGTTGCTAGGTTAAGATAAAATAATATTGTCTGAAAAATTACTCCCTTGGCTGGCTACTACCCATAGCATCTGGAATCTTAACAAAGGAGTCATACCAAACTGTACCGTCCCGGATGTGTGGTTTGCATATGGCCTGGGATGTGTGTCTAGGGTGCAAGAGCAGTCCCCAGATCCTACAGAGCAGTCTTCTGACTTCCACACATGTGTATAAGGAGGTAGGGTAAAGACTCAGACATGAAAATGACCCTGAGTTCAATTCCCAGCAACCACATGGTTTTTTAACTTAAAAGTTTTTTTTTTTACTCTGTGGGGGGGGGGGTGAGGGTCAGAGGACAACTTGTAGGGGTCAGTTCTGTCCTTTTACTGTATGAGTTCCAAGGATCACACTCATATTGTCAGCATTGATGGTTACTAACCTTACCCAATGAACCATTTCTTTCTTTTTCTTTTTTTATTTTTATTTATGTATATGTCTGTATGTGAATGCCACATGTCTGATCCCCGAGCTGGAATTGCAGGCAATTGTGAGCTTCCCGGTGTGTATGCTGGAATAAAGTTTGTGACCTCTGGGAGGCCAGAGAGAAGTCCTAACCCTGAGCCATCTTCCCAGCCTCCAGTGAGCCATTTCAACAGCTTTTAAATTTTAATTTAATCTCTTATCCAGGGTCTCATACAGCTCTGGTTGGCCTCATCATGTGGCAATCCTCTGACTTCTTCCTCTTAAATGCTTGGATTATAACAATGCATCCCCATGCTTAACTGAATCCCCCTTCCAGAGTCAGGTTATCACTCAGTAAAATGCAGGCTCAAGCTGGGAGTTGTGGTGCACTCTGGAGGTGTAGGCAGGTGGACCTCTCTGAGTTCATGGCCAGCCTGGTCTACAAAGAGAATTCCAGGACAGGCTCCAAGCTACACAGAGAAACCCTGTCTCAAAAAACAAAGAAGGAAAATTGAGGCTTGGACTCTACCCTTGATCAGCCATCACAAATCAGTCCTCAGCATACTCAGCTTGACTGTTCCTGACCCACAGTACAGGTGTAGACTATGTGTAACACTGAGGGTCAAGTTCAGGCCACCCATGTCAGCACTGTCTCCATGGAGGATTCTTGCTCACTCTCTCTACCTGGTAAAAATACTTCCTGCTCTAGGGACAAGCCTGCCAGGCTAGCACAAGTGTCAGGAGTTTCACTGATGTCAGGTCAGTCGGCCTTCTGGCACCCTCAATCTCATTTCTTGAGGTTCCCAGCAGTATACTACCTACCACAACTGAACTACCGTCAGCAAAAGGAGAGCAGACCAGAATGAGACTTGAAGGGGTCACTAACTGCCCATCTCCTGAGGAGTCTGCTTCCGGGTCATAAAAATATGAAAGCCTAATGGTCCATTTTCAAAGGTGCCTTCAATCAGCTTAGATCCAACTGTGGGTGAAAAGATGACTCTGGGTCCCTGCCCACATTGGCTAGTCTAAAGTGTTAACTGCCAAAATTGCTTCATGACCTGCAGACATGATGGGTTTATGCTCCCAAAAACCTTTACAATAAACAGAATGTAAAATGTAGACATAAACCCATGCATATCTTTGTTAAGAAATTAAGAAATTTAGTGTCTGATGATTTATCATAGTGTACCCTCCAGGGTAGAGTTCAGGTGAGCACTGTGGGTTCAAGGCCAGAGAGTTCCAGGAAGCCCAGAGCTACACAGAAAGACCCTGTCTCAAAACAAACAAACAAAAACCTACCCTTCTGATTACTCAGCCAGTAAGGAAAGCGAGGTGAGACCTGCATTCAGGGTTATTAAAAACTTTCTTTGTGTGGTAGGCAGAGGCAGGTGGAAGCCTGGTCTACAGTGCGAATTCCAGGACAGCCAGGGCCACACAGAGAAACCCTGTTTCTAAAAACAAAAACAAAAGCTGGGCGGTGGTGGCGCGTGCCTTTCTTTAATCCCAGCACTTGGGAGGCAGAAGTAGGCAGATCTCTGTGAGTTCGAGGCCAGCCTGGTCTATAAGAGCTAGTTTCAGGACAGGCCTGCAAAGCTACAGAGAAACCCTGTCTCGAAAAACAAACAAACAAACAAACAAAAAACCCAAACAAACAAAAACCCAACTTTCTTTGCCATTTTCATCTCTGTCAATGTTCTCTTTGCAGGTTATAAAATGAATTGCCTTGCTTTCTCTACTGAGCCTCCAGCATTCATAGGAGTGTGTGGAACTTTGTTCCTGCAGGGTCAAGGGCCAATTTCTCCATGAATAACAACACATTTCAGGAGGAAGACTCAGCAGTTAGTTCTGAAATGATGCAGTAAGCAGGAATGTTGGCAAAGGCTAGCTGTCAGGAGGGGCTGCCTGGAGCCTAGAAGATGACATAGGTCTGTACCCTACAGCCCTCTACTGGTCCCTTCCCATCTTGGTCCTTTAGTGCTCAAGGCTGCCACACACTTACTCTATGATGATCTGAGTCCCCACATCGTCCTGACCATCTTCCCCTCACATCTACCTTGCTTCTCCCGCAGTGACTTCTGGAAATTCAGTGCATCCTTGGTCACATCAATCTCCCGCTTGATGACATTGATGCGCTGGGTGGTCTCGCTGGCCCTTTTCCTCCGTTCATTCAAAATGGATTTATTTTCTTTGAAGATGCGGTTGATCTCACTACCTCGTTCATTCTTAAAATCTTCAAAGGCCACAGGTTTAGAGGGTGGGGTGCTGGGTCTGGGGACAGAGGGAGAGGTCAAAGAGGAACAAGAAGTGGAACAGCTGCCTTAGAGGCAAAGGTACTTCCTCTTTCTTCGCTATGACTTCTGAGGTCCTAGGCATTATTTGTGTCAGATGGAAGTTAGTCTGTAGAAATCAGTCCCTCATCTCTGTTCTATGGACCATGCCCACTGCAGAAATTGAGGAAAGGAAAGAAACGGAAAACAAAATCACCATCACCTATCTGGATCCAGAATCTGTTGAATCTCTTAAGATTTCTTTAATACATTTTTAAATGGGTGAAGCCACACAGACTATATGATCTTTTCTTTTCTCACAGAGGCATTATTTCATGGTATTAAAATTTCTTTGAGTAGGGTGGTGGTGGCATACACCTTTAATCTCAGCACTTAGGAGGCAGAGGCAGGTGGATCTCTGAGTTCAAGGCCAGCCTGGTCTACAGAGTTCCAGGACGGCCAGGGCTACACAGAAAAGCCCTGTCTTAAAAACATACCTCCAAAAAATATTTCTTTGAGAGGCCCTCAGGGTCTGGCTTTGTGGGTAAGAGCATTGCTCTGTAAGTATGAAGACCTGAGCTCCTATTATAAAACTTTAAGACAACCCTGAAGCCATTTTTGACAATTCTGAATCCTCTCAGCTTCTGTGCCATAGTGCTTCCCCTTCTCCCCTGGGAACCAAGGACCTAACAGCTACACTCGCACGTACTCAGTTCCTGAACAATTACCCATATACGTATGTTTTGGTTCGGTCCTCTGGGAAACGGGGTCAAAATGACCTCTTACTTCATCTGATCTGGCAACAGCTCTCCAGTCAATTATTGGTAACATCCCTTTCAAATAAGCCAATCAGAATAGTCAAAGAACAACCCCCCTTGCTTCTGTGGCCCCTTTAAAAGTAGACTGTACCCGCTATTCAAGGTCCCTCGGCTTCCTGAATGCTGGGGGACCCTGTCATGACAGAATTAATAAAGTCCTCATGCTTTTGCATCGGCTGTGGTGTGTGAGATGGTCTCTGGGGGCGACTCCTCCTCGGTGTTTGGACGCTAGAGTCCAACACTATCTTCATGTTACATAGCAAGAGGAGGAAGAAAGCAAGCTGTCTGTCACTGTTCTACTGCAGTGAAGAGACACCATGACCACAGCAACCCAGACAGGGTTTCTCTGTAGCTTTGAGCCTCTCCTGGCACTCACTCTGTAGACCAGGATGGTCTTGAACTTACAGAGATCTGCTTGTCTCTGCCTCCCAAGTGCTGGTCTACAGAGCAAGTTCCAGGACAGCCAGGGCTACACAGAAAAACCCTGTCTCAAAAAAACAAAAAAATAAAAAATAAAAAAATAAAGAAACCTCAAAGTGTCCTAGTGACAAACTTCTTCCAACAAAGGTCTTCTAATCCTTCTAAGCCTATCAAAGAGTTTCACTCCCTGGTGACTAAGCATTCAGATACATGGGGCCATTCTTAGTCAAACCAGCACAAAAGTCCATGAGAATTAGAAAGTAAATAACTCATAACTCTCAGGAAGTTCCTGAGACTAAAAGATTTACCAGTCCCTCTTCTCCAAGATTATAGAAACAGTAACTGCTGGATTTGTCCAGCTGCCTACAAGTCACACAGTTCTAGGGATGTAGCTGTTATGAGTCATCACCAAGGCTGGGGTAGGCGTTTGGTGATACAGGTGTCTTTAAGTCAGTCACCCACGCTCCTATAAGAAACCCCAACGGAGTCATTGGTTTGCTACCTTGAACTTGGTGGCACTGTTAGTTTGTCCGCTCACTGGTTCCCTATCTAGATAGAGTAAGCAGATACCGGTTCATGTCTCCTCAAGAAAAGTCTCATACAACACCCCAGAAACCACATATGAAGACAAGCATCATGTCTATACCTCCAGCACTAGGCCACAAAAACAGATCTGAAAGGGTGCCTGTCAGCCAGGTTAGCTTCCACTTTAGTGAGAGGTTATGTCTCAAGGTTTACAGCAGAGAGTGCAAAGGGAAGACACTAAGTGCGCTGTGCTGCTCAGGCCTTAGCATGCACACACATGGGTACACTCATGTGATTGCACCATACATAATCCCATGTACAAAACTCTCTGAGAACTACAGTTAATGTGATACAACTCTTGGCACAGAGGGATGTGGACTGATGTTGGCAATTTATTTGAAATGCATTTTTAAAAAGACAACACAAGGCCGGGCGGTGGTGGCACACGCCTTTAATCCCAGCACTCGGGAGGCAGAGGCAGGCGGATCTCTGTGAGTTCAAGACCAGCCTGGTCTACAAGAGCTAGTTCCAGTCCAGGACAGGCTCCAAAACCACAGAGAAACCCTGTCTCGAAAAACCAAAAAAAAAAAAAAAAAAAAAAAAAAAAAAAAAAAAAAAAAAAAAAAAAAAAAAAAAAAAAAAAAAAAAAAAAAAAAAAAAAAAAAAAAAAAGACAACACAAGATTGAACAAATGTAATAGCCTGCCAACAGAAACTAGTGGGCTCTCAGTGTAAAATAATTGATACACGTGTTAAAGTTCTAACACAATTTATTTATTTGTGTATGCACACACATGCACACCACAGCACATGTATGGAGGTCAGAGGACAATTTGTGGGAGTTGGTTCTCTCCTTCCACCGTGTATGTCCTGGGTATTGAACTCGGGTCATCAGAATTAGTAGCAAATGCCTTTGCTGGCTCAGCTATTTCCCCAGCCCCTAAATGAATCTTTGTGCACCTTGGAAGACTGAGGCTGGACCATTTTGCATGCATATATGTTACCACATTTCTTCCTTTTGGCCTCTCTCTTTCCCCCTGTTTATTTCTCTTCTGTTGCACGCACCTTTTACTTACCATGTAAGGATCACACTCTGGTTTGGTGTGATCTGATCTGGTGGGAGACCTATCCGTCTTTAGATGGTTACCTGGGTGGGCGCAACTCTTCCTTAGGAGAGTCTGAGGGAAGGGGTTCAATACTGGATGTCTCCCTGTCTCGTGGAAACATGTCTTTGATATCCCCATCTTTGGAAGATGGGGGGATCAGCTGGGTCTTGGAGATGGAAATCACATCTAAGTCCTTGCCACTCACAGGGCTGCTAGCACCTTCCTTTCTTGCTGAGGAGCTGAAAAACAGTCAGGGAAACACCATGGCTCAGGCCCGTAAGCACCACATAAACTGACATGGGATCATACCTGTGTTTTCACATCAACACCACATAAACTGGACATGGGATCATACCCATGTATTCCCATCAATGGAATGGGAAGTGAGAACTAAGACCTAGGATGAGAGCTTGTTCACATCTACTAAACCAAGCAACCTACCACATTCAGTTTGCCTGTTTATTTTACTTATGTATTGTTTATTATCTATCTATCTATCTATCTATCTATCTATCTATCTATCTATCTATCTATCTAAGATAAAGTCTTATATGTAGCCCTGGCTGGCCTAGAATTCACAGGGATCTGCCTGCTTCTACCTCCTAAGTGTTCATATTAAAGGAGTACACTATTATACCTTGCATCTGGCCACTCCTATCTTTTAAAAAAATATGTATGTGGGCACGTACCTGAGGGCGGTACCCTAGGAGGTCAGATGTCAGATATCCCTGGAGATAGACAGTTGTGAACCACCTGATGGGTACTGGGTCCTGAGCTCAGATCCTCTCCATGAGCTATATGCAGTTTTTCCTTTCTTCTTTTAGAGTAAGAGGATTTCATGTATCTTCCTTCTTTTAGAGTAAGAGGATTGTATGTATCTCAGGTTGGCTTAGAACTCCCTAGGTAGCTAAGGAGATTTTGTCCTTTTCCTCTTCCTGATGGGAATACAGGGGTATGATCCCATGTCAGTTTATGTGGTGCTGATGGGAATACACGGGTATGATCCCATGTCAGTTTATGTGGTGCTGACTACCAAAGCCAGGCCTTTGTGCCTGCTAGGCAAGCGCTCCACCAGCAGAGCTGCATCCCCACACCTCCGTCTCATTCTTCCTTTGTCTGTGCCCCCTTCTTCCTGTTTCCCTCTTCCTTCCTTCTTTTTTTGGGGTGGTGATGGTTGTACCATGTACCCCAAGTGGCCTCAAATTCATAATCTTCTTTTTTAAACTTTATTATTACTGTGTGTGAGAGAGTCCATGATTTGGGGAAGATGTCAGAGAATGACTTTGTATAATTTGTTCTCTTCTAGTTCTATGTGAATTCCACAGATGCAACCTGGGTCCTTAGACTTGTATAGCAAGCACCTTCATACTTGGAGCCATCTCACCAACCCTGAATGCACAATCTTATGCCCTCGGCCTCCTACATACTGAGATTGCAGGCATGGGTAACACTCAGCAGCAGGTTTTGCTGAAAGGACTAGCCTCTGTGTTATTACACCTGTTCTCTGCAGCAGAACAGAGGGGCTCGGGACACAGCAGACAGGAGGTAACCAGTGTTAGTGCATCCTCTCTCCATGACTCTGGCTTGCCTGTGGCACTTCCCTACAGTCCAGTTAGCTCATGTGCAAGGACTGCATTCCTAGATTATCCTCCCTACAAGGGCAGTAGCTCTGATGATATCATTATTAATATCAATATTCCCATTTTAGAGCTACAGACACAGGTATAGGTCAGTTCTCATACCTCACACAAGGAAGTCTCTTAGGGGTAAGAAGCACAGAGAAGGGAAATGAGCCCAGGACGCAACTCTGAAACCTATACTCAGTCAGCTACTGCTACCCAGTGTGGCCTGGGCAGCAGATTGGGGAAAATTCTTTCTCCTACTTTACTTAAAAATGAGTCTTAGGGGCTGGAGAGATGGCTCAGAGGTTAAGAGCATTGCCTGCTCTTCCAAAGGTCCTGAGTTCAATTCACAGCAACCATCTGTAATGGGGTCTGGTGCCCTCTTCTGGCCTGCAGGCATACACACAGACAGAATATTGTATAAATAAATAATAAGTAAATATTTTAAAAAAAATGAGTCTTAGCTGGGAGTGGGACGGCACCTATCTATAATGTAAGATCTTAGGAACATGAGGCAGGAGGGTCATCATGAGTCTGAGCCTAGCCATCCTTAGCTACACTGTGAGACCCTTTCTCAACACCCCCGCCACACACCAAAAGCACAACAACAAACTGAGTCTCGCCTAAAAGGTAGTTAAGGATTTAGATGGCTTGAGGGAATCTCAATGGGGGTACCTGTGTGGGGGGGTGTATCACAGAAGTACCAGCAAGCGCAGTGGTTGGTGTGTCCCTAGTGTGGGCAGTGCTCGTCCCTGCGACCCTGCTACTCAACAGTGACAGAACATCAGGAAGTAACTCAGTGAAGCAGAAACATTGGTTCCCCTGGGGGTGCCATGAGGATGAGTGGTGACCCTCAGGGTATCGCCCTGACTGAGCTGAACCTCACAGATTTCCTGGCATTGGCAGGAGTGAGCACTGGTAACTGGGCACCATGGGAGAGCAGGAGGCCATGGTGTGCCCTCCCTCTATGAGGGAGCCCAGGTGCAAGGCTAGGCTCTTTGCTAGGAGGCAAAGAGAAGATCTCTCACCTGAGCTGATCTTTCAGTGTCTTCTTAGACCTGGATTTCTTCCCAGGTTTGATAGAAAAAGGAGCAACCCCAAGTCCAAAGCTTTGTCCATCAGGTTCACCTACTAGGTGACCTTCAGCATCCACAAGCCCTGCCTGGAAAGAAAGGTCAGGACAAGGCACATGGGTTATATTAGAGGTCTGGGCCTTTCAGGAATGCAAGTGTTCATGGTCTACAACTTGGAGTGAGCATGTTACACACACACACACACCAAGATTTGGCCACTGCTGCCAGCTTCAGGCTGTCCATGAACCCTAGAAAATTAATGTCTACTTTCCTTTTTTTTGAGACATGGTTTTTCTGTGTTGCAGCTCTGGCTGTCTTGGAACTTGCTATGTAGACCAGGCTATAGACCAGATCTGTAGATCAGATCTTGAACTTACAGGAATATGCCTGCCTTTACCCTTTACCTCCTGAGTAAAGGTGTGTACCACCACCTCCCAATATTCTGTAAGGATCTTAAGGCCTAGTGCCAACCTGGTTCCAAGCATTAGTTATTATATATATATATATACATATATATACATGTATATATATATATATACTGTCCAATTTATGGACATAATTCTCAATGTAAAAGTAGTACACTATTTTTTCCTGTGTATGTGTATATGTGGGTGTGGAGACCAGAGGTCAACCTTGAGTGTTATTCCTCAGGAAGTTTACTCTGGGTCTCTCATTGGCCTGGAACTCACAAACAGTGCCAGGCTGGCAGGCCAGTGGGCCTCAGGGTCTGTCTGTCTACACCTTCCCAGAGCTTGCACCACAAGGATGCACCACACCCAGCTTTACATGGGTTCTGGGAATTGAACTGAAGGCTTTATGTTTGTGCACCAATCACGCTACTGATTGAGCTTTCTCTCCAGCCCCAAAGGTGTACTTGCACAGGTCATTCATGCTCAGCTTGGTGTTATTTTTGGTCTGGGAATTCTTAGCTCTGGTTTGATGCATGACACTTAAAGTTTCTGCAAAAGTCTGACCAAAGATGGAAAGTCTGAGGCAGTGCTGTTAGCCAGAGGCAACTGTGCTTACCTTCTGGACAGCAGAAATGGCTGCAAAGTCATTCTTGTCTATGAGGGTGTACTTTCTGCGCAAGGCAGACTCCACTTCCTGTTCCTGTTGGCTTGGGAGAGAGAGTAATAACAGTTTATAATGGGGGCCATGCTGAGTCCACTGGACTAAGACCCCAGCATTAGAATAAGAGTTGGTTAGGTAAAGCCCTGGTGATGGAGTCACAGCCTCATCATAAGCCAAAAGACAATGTAGACCAAAGGGCTCACCCCTTTCACAGTGCACACGCTCCCCATCATCCAGTCCCGAAACCTGTAGAACCATATCACATGCCTATGATATCAGCTCTCAGACGATAACGCCTGTAAACCTGCATGTTTAATAGCGCGTGGAAACCTGCAAGAGGACTGTGCTGTCAACTAGGTTCTAACAGGACCCTAGGAGTCAAGTGACCAGTCTGATACCAACTAGTGATGTGGGAGTGATTTCTTATTAATAAAGAAACTGCCTAGGCCCCTTGATAGGCCAACCCTTAGGTGGGTGGAGTAAACATAACAGGATGCTGGGAGAAAGAAGCTGAGTCAGGGAGTCGCCATGGTTCTCCCACTCCAGACAGACGCAGGTTAAGATCCTCCCTGGTAAGCCACCTCGTGGGCTACACAGAATATTAGAAATGGGTTAGATCAATATGTAAGAGCTAGCCAATAAGAGGCTGGAACTAGCCGGGCCAGGCAGTGTTTAAAAGAATACAGTTTCCGTGTAATTATTTCGGAACATAACCTAGCCATGCGGGCGGCCGGGTGCCGGGGACGCAGCCCCGCCACTCCTAAATCAACAAACTAGCACAAGTTGCTCAGGCAATAGGTAAATCTGCACCCAAATAAACTGTAAGTGTTCCTTGAGGTAGGAGATATGGAAGATCCACGAGGCCCAGCTCTGAGCACAGTCACAGATGGCACTCCAGAGAGTTCCTGTCCAATAAAGGGATCTGGGCACACCCTAAACACTCAGATCTGGTTCCTCACATAGCGCAGAATCTCTCTCTCTCTCTCTCTCTCTCTCTCTCTCTCTCTCTCTCTCTCTCTCACACACACACACACACACACACATTCTACATCCAAGGGTTTTCTTGAAGGCAAGTGCCCAGACCATAGCAAATAAAGATGGAACGGTGAGAAAGAATGACAAGGAGCAGCAGAGTGAGATTTACCTCAGCACCACCCTGAACTGGTTGAACACCTCCTGAATCTGCCTTAAATTGATTATCTGTCAGGAAGAGAGCAAAATTGAGTTTAGGCAATGGAACCTAGGAACAAGGCTGGGTCTAAGCAGAGAAGTCAGGAGCCCTTGACTGACTCTGGACCATCTCATTCTGAGAATGATTTATGTGCAGAAGCCTCCCAGTGGCACTAGAGAGATGGCTCTAAGAGATATACTTCTCTTGTGGAGGACATACTTGGTTCCCAGCATCACTGACAACTTTTTAGCTCTTGTTCCAGGGGATATGATGCCCTCTCTCAGCCTCCATAGGTACTGCATGCAAGTATACAAACCCACACTCAGATACCCATCCATACACAGAATAATTAAAAGTAAAATAATATCTTTTTATTTTATTTTATTTAAGATTTTATTTATTATGTATAGTGTTCTGCCTGCATGTATACCTGCAGGCCAGAAGAGGGCACCAGATCTTATTACAGATGGTTGTGAGCCACCATGTGGTTGCTGGGAATTGAACTCCAGACCTCTGGAAAAGCAGTTAGTGCTCTTAACCTCTCTCCAGCCCCCAAAATAATATCTTTAAAAAAAAAAAAAGCCTCTCAGAGCTGGGCAGTGGTGGCGCACGCCTTTAATCATAGCACTCGGGAGGCAGAGGCAGGCAGATCTCTGTGAGTTTGAGGCCAACCTGGTCTACAGAGCTAGTTCCAGGACAGGCTCCAAAGCTACAGAGAAACCCTGTCTCAAAAAAATCAAAAATAAAATAAAAAGCCTCTCAGCAAGGCTGGAGAGATGGCTCAGTGGTTAAGAGCACTGACTGCTCTTCCAGAGGACCAGGGTTCGATTCCCAGCACCCACATGGCAGCTCACAACTGTCTGAAGATCCAGTTGCAGGGGATCTGACACCTTCACACCAGTGCACATAAAATAAAGTTAAATAAAGAAAAAATATATAAAAAAAAGCCTCTCAGCAAAGTATTATCACTATGTAGAGACAGATACACTTGGTAAATAGTTTGTTGTTGGGGAGGCCTTACCCTCACTGAGAAGCTGACGGGGTGAGGGGAAGATGGGGGGAGGAAAAGAAGAGGGAACTGGGATTGGTATGTAAAAAATAAGAAAAAAATGTTGTTGTTTGATTATCTGTCTGTTTTGAGACAGGGTTTATATATTTAAGGCTATCCTGGAACTTGCTGTATACCTGAGAATGTCCCTGAAGTTCTGATCCTCCTGCCTCCACTTCCCAAGTGCTGGAAGTACAGGCGTGTGCCACTAGGCCCTGTGTATGTGATGCTGAGGATGCAAACCCAGGACTTCTTGCACAATAGGCAAGCGCTCCACCAACTGAGCTATATCCCTAGTCCCTGATTGATAGCTTTAAGTACTTGTCAAGCCTTTATTAAAAACTATTTTTTAAGGTTTTTTTTAATTTTTATTTTTATGTATATGAGTGCTTTGCCTGCCTGGTTCTCAAAGACCAGAAGAGGACACCAGATCTCCTGGAACTGCCATGAGAGGGACAGCAGCCCATGTAGTTCCCTGGTGGAAGGTTTATGGCCGCACTGTAAAAAAACAAGAGTCAATCCCCTCTCAAGCTCTTCCTGCGTGCCCACTGCTCTCTCCTGTTATACTCCAGCAGTGGGCCCCGAGAGGCAGGTTTCCTTCAATGACAATCAACCTGACCACCAACCACCCTTTATCAGCTTCATGTCACCAGACACAGCCAAGCCTGTGTTCCCTTTATGCACAGAGGAGGCATTGGCTAGCACCTGCGCCTGTGTCCTTGTCCCTGAGGTCAACCACATTTGATATAAGAGTGCATTCCAGCCCACTGAACATTGTATGTAGCTCCATAGGTTTGTAGCCCTAAACATGGAAGCTAAGGCCATGGTGGGCTGAAGGGCCCTTGACTGGGGTCTACACCACTTCCCATCTACTGCACCCATTCCATCTATGGCAGTACTCAGGACAGGAAGTCCAAGCTAGTTGAGCATGGTGGTCCCACAGCAGGGCTTCTTACATCAATCTCATCCAGTGTCCCCTCCAGGTACCTCCGCACTTGCGAGTTGATTTCAGCAATCTGGATTTCATCCATGGGGTCGTAATTCACGAGGGTGCGGTTGGCCTTGAAGGATGAAGAACACGTGCTACATAAGAACCTGAATCCAAGCAGGAGCAGCAAAGGCCATTCTGAGAGCCAAAGTATGAACCTAGGGTACAGTATCTGATGCCTATGCTGGCCATTTGCTTTACTGTCTGGTCCTGGCAGGGAAGGCCTGAAAACAGGCCAGGTGCATGTATCAGAGAGCAATGGGGAAGGGGGAGAATAAACGGCACTGTACATGAAGCCTGCTCTTTCAAACCAGAAGTTTCAGCAAACCACAAGGTAGGAGATGCTGGCTCTGCCTTGAGGACCACCAGAACCAGGACCATGCCTACCACTGCTCCTTTCCTGCTACTTAACCCATCCTACAGCCCCTGGCCTTAACCCACCATGCTGTTTGCCCCTGGTCTCCGTCCCCAGGAGCTTCCCCTCTTCCCCCATATCCAGTCCCTTACCAGGCTATCATGGATAGCCAGTTCCTGCTTGAGCAATGCCAGCTCCTTCTCCAAGTTCTTGACCATTCTCTGCCAGGGAAATACACGTAGTAAGGAAGAGGGTCATCAGAAAAAATAAATACCTGACTTCTTCACAGCAAATGTGCTGTGGGACAATGGTCTGTACCATGTCAGTTGTATTTTAACAAAATGCTGATTGGCCAGTGGCCAGGCAGGAAGTATGGGCGGGACAATGAGCACAGGAGAATTCTGGGAGGAGGAAAGGCTCAGGCTGCAGAAGGAAGCCAGACACAGAGCAAGCAAGGAATTTCTCCCTGAGACTTCTCACCATGGACAGGCTTGTCTTTGTCACAAAATGACCACTGGAGGGAGCTACTTCCAAAACTAGTGACCACACAGATCCAAAGGTCTTCTCAATCCACAGCCAGCTATAGTCTAGCCTCATCCAGTCACATGGCCTGGGTACTAAGGCTTACCTGTTACCATGCATGCTTTACAACAGACCCTGGCATCATGGTGGCTCTGTGGCAATTTAGACACAAAGCCTGAGACTTCAGGCATTTTATCAGAATCCAAATCCTGCCTGGCTCGGCCTTTTAGAAAGCCCCAAACAGGTCTCTTTCTAGTATGGACTGTCTTTGGTGGCTGTTCTCAGCCACCTCGTCCTCCTCACTCTTGAGAATCCATTATACCACAGATACAGAAAGTCTGGCTGAGATGTTGGCAGTGCCGCTGGATGACTGTAGTGTGTCATGTAGCGTGACATAGTGTGTCATTGGACACGTGGTCCAATGAGAAGGTGAGTGGGGTAGTGAGCCCTTTTAGGGGAAGCAGCCTCCAGCTTACCCTGCCAACAAGGAAACTGTTTCTCCTAATGATTGACAGGTGTAGCAGCCTCTCATTGCCTGGGGAGCAGCTGCCGGGAAACAGGACTGGAACAGCAGACCCCACGGTTCAGGATCCTGAAAGCACTCCTGTATCACCCACACACATACTGCACACAAGAAAAATCTGTGAGACAGTTTTGCCGAGGCTTCACAGGTAACGAGGGATGGAACAAGTCACTGAACAAGGATGGCCTGACCCAGAGACAGCACATGCAGCACTTGGAAACTCAAAGGCACAGATCCTCATCGGTGGTGGTGGCACAAGTCTGTAATGCCAGCACACAAGAAGTTGAGGCAGGAGGATCAGGAGTTGGAGGCCAGATTTGGCTATATAATGAGACCATGTCACAAAATGGAGGGGGGGGGGCAGGGACCAGAAGGAAAAGGGAGAAAGAAAGAAACACACAGGCTCCATCACTTGACTCAGGAGCTCAGTATAGACAGGGGTTTGTAACCCTCACTGAGCTTAGGAACCAGAACCCATCTCTACCTTCTTGCTAAAGCATGGTTCCATGATGGCATCATCCTTCAGGGTTGAGCCTAGACAGTCGAGCCTTTCTGCCAGAAACATGGGCGCATGCACAAGTCCACTCCAGTCACCATGATTTCATGAGTATCTTTGGTTGATTTTTAAAAAATGATTTATTTTTATCTTACGCATATGAGTGTTTTGCCTGCATGTATGTGTGTGCATGCACGCACATGTGTGTGCCCATCACGTTTGTGCCTATTTCCCAGGCAGGACAGAAGAGGGCATCAGATTTCTTACAGCTGGAGTTATAGACAGCGCCATGTGGGTGTTGGGAATGGAATCCCGGTCTTTTTTAAGAGCAGTTAATGCTTTTATCGCTGAGTTATTTCTCTAGCTTGTTGGTTGGGTTTTGAGACTGTGTCTCATGTGAACTCATGATCTTCCTGAGATCAGACTCCTGCAATTTGTCCTTTGACCTCCATTCATGTGCCCGCACATATACAAGCACACATATATACACTCAAAATAAATGAATGTGGAGGGGGTGGGGTTCTGCAGTGATAGGCAGGCAAGGCTGAGAAGACAGTGCATGGTGATTCAGCTCTGAAGAAATCACAAGGAGATCCTGAGGTACCCAATCCCCGGAGCCCTACATGTGATCATCTAGCCCTTTCTCTTTTGTGGCAGTCTAGCAGGGTCTCCAGGGATTCTTAAAGACATTGGCTTACCCCTGAAAGGAAAAGGACTGACCCAGGGCCCATGTCTAACATTAGTGGAGGCAGGAAGGAAACCAGACAAGCCTGGCTTCCTGTATGACCTCCACCAGATACTCAGGTGGCAGCAAGCACACAGACATCATTCCAAGAGCTGGGAAGCTTCTCACCAGCCCCTTAGTACCTCGGCATCATACTTTTCATTGATGGCAGGCTCAGTAGTGACCAATTTCATCCTGCTGGCGAACCTCAGGGAAGACAGCTGAAAAACAGATCAGACAGATGTCAGGCGGCTCACCATGCACGAGACCCCCAAAGATCAGCCTTCTCAGATGGCATGTCCTCTTCAGACTCTTCAGGGGGCTTTCCCGAAGGGCCTTCAAGGGGACACTGATCAAAAGGGCATTTTGGTACTCTGTGGGTTTCGATGAGTGATATCAAATCTGACTAGCATGTGGAAGGCCCTAGGGTTCGATCCTTAGCAACAAAAGATAAACAAAATACGAAATTTAAAGGGTAAACCAGGTATCGTGACACGTGCACTTACGAAGTGGAGGTCCCAGACCTCGAGGAGAGGCACAAGCAGGAGGATCTCTGTGAGTTTGAGGCCAGCCTGGTCTACAAGAGCTAGTTCCAGGACAGGCTCCAAAGCTACAGAGAAACCCTGTCTCGAAAAACAAGACAAAAATGAAGTGGAGGCAAAAGGATCAAGAGTTTATCATCCTCAGCTATATATCAGGTTGGAATCCAGCCTTGGTTATGTTAGACTCACTATCAAAAAATATATAAATAGGTCTGGAGAGAAAGCTCGGCAGTTAAGAGAGCTTGGTGTGCTTCCAGAGGACCCAAATTCAGTTCCCAGCACCATGTCAGAAGGCTCACAACTGCCTGTTACTCAACCTTTGGGGGGATCTGATGCCCTCTTCTGTCCTTTGTGGTTACCTGCACTCACATGCACACACACATATTCACAATATTCACAGACACACATACATGTAAATAACTACAAAGAAATCTTAACAAACAAGACCTTGGCAGTGAGGTCTTCTGTAGGGTGGAGAGTGGAGTCTTAGGAATAGGAAGTTGACAGAGGCATATGCTGTAGCCAGGACCTCATCCCATGCACTCTGCAGACACTAATCCCTTTCTTTCTTCCTTTAAGACAGGATCTCGATATGTAGTCCAGGTTGGTCTCAAACTCACAGAGATCTACCTGCCTTGCCCTGCCTCCCCAATGCTAGGATTTTTTTTTAATATTTATTTATTTATTAAATATACAGTATTCTGTCTGCATGTATGCCTGCAGGCCAGAAGAGGGCACCAGATCTCATTACAGATGGTTGTGAGCCACCATGTGGTTGCTGGGAATTGAACTCAGGACCTTTGGAAGAACAGGCAGTGCTCTTAACCTCTGAGCCATCTCTCAGCCCCCCAATGCTAGGATTAAAGCAGTGCGTCACCACACTGCTGCACGCTGGTCTATTTCTTATTCTTTTCTTCTTTCTGCAGTGCTGGTGACCACATTTAGGGCCTTGTGCCTACTGGCCCAGCTATCTACACTGATGAGCATTGTTAGCGCCACACTGTTCTAATCCACACCTACCCATCTTCCACCCAGATGCCCATGCTCGAGCCACCCCCTGCCTAAGGAACGCTTTCCTCTCCTCCTACCCTGCTTGTCTTTCTGCTCTCTGCTCTTTAAGGTCAGACCAGAAGCCAGCTTCCAGCATGAAGCCTTTCTGGTTCTCCTTCACATGGAAGGCACAGGCATGGTGTTCCTCCTTCAGGAGAGTGCCTCCACCCTTCTTTATCCACTTCTCTGGCTTTATATTAATGAGGTCTAAATGAAATAATACACAAACCATATTCATAATTATTTTTTCTTTTGTTTCCTTTTTTTGTATGTTTTCGTGAGACAGGGGCTTTATCTGTAGCCCTGGCTATCCTGGAGCCCGCTATGTAGACCAGGCTGTCCTCAGATTCATAGAGCTGCACCTGTTACTGCTGCAGAGTGCTGGGATTAAAGGCATGTGCTACCATACCTGGAAAATATAATTTTTTAAACCCATATGTGGGTCTGGGGAGCGGGTAGAATATTTGACTATACAAAAATGAGGAACAAAAACTTGAGTTTGATCCCAGAATGCATGTAGAAAAGCCTGTGCTGCAGAAACAACTGACCGAGCTAGTGGAGATCACCAACTCTGGACTGACAGCTGGGGAAACTGCACAGGACTGAACTGGGCCCTCTGAATGTGGGTGGCAGTTGTGTGGCTTGGGCAGTTGATAGGACCACTAGCCGTGGAACCAGTATTTATCCCTAGTGGATGAACTGGCTCTTTGGAGGCCATTCCCTATGGAGGGATACCTTGCTCAGCATAGATACAGGGAGGAGGGCCTTGGTCCTGCCTCAAGTGATGTGACAGACTTTGTTGACTCCCATGGGAGGCCTCACCCTCTCTGAGAAATGAATGGGGGAAGGAGGGGGAGGGGAAGGAGAGGGAACTGGGATTGCTATGTAAAATAAAAAAAGATTGTTTTTTTTAAAAATAAGATAAAATAAAGTTTTAAAAAAAGAAGGCTGTGTGGACGCATGAGCTGGTGAGGAAGGGACAGGTAGATTCTCTGCTTCACTGGCAGCCATCTTAATGGGATACCAGGTTAATGAGGCATTCTGTCCTAAAGGACAAGGTGGGGACTGGAGAGACGGCCCAGTGGGTGAGACATCAGTTCACATCCCCTGCATCCACATAAAAGCCAGGCATTGGCTCTGTGTGCCTGTAACCCCAGTATTTGGGACACAGAGACAGGTGAATCAAGGAGCTCCCTGGCCAGCCAGCCTAGCCAAAACAGTGAGATTTAGGTTCATTGAAAGAATCTGCCTCGAGAAATAAGGTTGATAGCAATAGAGGAAGACATTTTACATCCTCCTCCTTTGGCCGCCACATGCCCAATCTTTTATCACTGCAATAGAAAGAAACCCAGGGCACCACACAATCCTGATGGCCTGAGCTCAATCCCTAAAACTCTGAGTGGAGAAAGAGAACTTGCTCCTGAAAGTTGTCCCTGGCCATGTGCACCCTCCCCAACGATGATAAGGATACTTTTAAAAGTGAAAAACATGGCAGACACATAGCCCAGTGGTAAGGCACCTACCTAGCATGTGTGAAGCCCTGGGATCAACCCCTGCAGTGCCAAAAACAAAAACAGGGCAGGCATGGAGACACATGCCTGTGATTCCAAAATCTGGGAGGTGGAGGCAGGAGGATCATCATTATTTACGGCTATATACAACGCTCAAAAACAGCTATTATACATGAGTATATGAGACTCTCTCAAGAAATACCTCCCAAGGAAAAGAAGGAGAAGAGGAAGACGAGGAAGAAAGGAGGAAGAAGAAGAGAGCAGAAATTTCCAAAGCAAACTTGCTGTCTCTTAGTGACATCTGGAGACCCTTCTGGGGCAATCATGGCCAGAGGCCATGAGCAGCAACCCTGGAAATAGCCTCAGTGCACAGATGTTAGATGAGGGTGGAGCACAAGGCAGGCCCTGAGAATGGAGCCTCACACCATGCTGGGTTGAGTGTCAATGAAGAGGCCCTGCTATGAGGAACACCAGACTTGGAAGGGGGATGGGTCACCCTGCAGTGGCCTCAAGGAAGGACTGGTAAGGTTCTTCCTCAGTGCTGTAGTTTGGCGGCTAAGGGCTCTGCCGTGGTCATTTGAGTGACCTTCCATAATTCTCACCATATCCTCTACAAGGATGGGTGACCCCCCTTTGTGAGTCCCTGGGAGTCGCAATGGTGTGGTTCCTGATGTGCTCTGTAGAGGGAGCTCTCAGAAGGAAGCCTAATTGTTGTCACAGGCACTAGTTTTGTGGAGATCCAATTCAGACTCCTGCTCCAAGAGTAACTGTTGCTTTTGCTTCAGGGCACTGGTTCCCCCAACACACTACTGTTAGTACATAAAGTAATACAATTCATGACAGAAACCTGTTTTGAGTTTTTAAATTATTATTATTATTGTTGTTGTTTGGTTGGTTCTTTTGAGACAGGGTTTCTCTGTAGCTTTTTTTTTTTTTTAAATTTTTCGAGACAGGGTTTCTCTGTAGCTTTTGGAGCTTATCCTGGAACGAGCTCTTGTAGACCAGGCTGGCCTCAAACTCACAGAGATCCTCCTGCTTCTGCCTCCCAAGTGCTGGGATCAAAGGTGTGCGCCACCACCGCCCGAGTTGTTTTTGTTTTTTAAGATTTAGAGAACTCGAGACTCATTAGCATCCACACCCCTCATATATCTTTGTTCCAAACCCCTAAGACCCTTCTCCCCGTCTGTGAGTTCAGGCCTGGGGCAGAGCTGCTGAGCAGTGAGGGAACAAGACCCTGGAGGTCTCAGGTGCCAGGAGAGTTGCTTCCTGTGCTCTGGCTACTTCGAGGGACTATAAGCCTTGCTGGAAGGTATCTTTCTTCTTTCCTTTTTTTTTTTCTTGTTAGGAAGTGGAGTTAGGGTTTACTAAAGATTTTGTTAAATAGATTTTTAAGCACAAAGATTAAGAGAAAGAAAGGTATTCAGAAATGAAGACATTTATTCAGAATATACAATCACTGGCTCGCAGTACTACCAACTCAGGAGAAACAGTGATGGTCGCTGAATCTCCAAGCTATTAGAGTAACCAGGCCTAGTTAGTAGCAAGAACTGCCTTTCACATTATTAAAGACACTTCCCCCTTCCTTCCTGTGCATTTTAGTGACATCTGAATTATGTCCAGAGGAACAGTCAACTGACTGACCCCAAGGCTCATCTGTTTTGTTTTGTTTGAGACAGGGTCTTACTATGTAGCCTTGGCCAGCCTTGAAATCACTCTGTGGACCAGGTCACCCTCAAACTCACTTGTGATCCTCCTGCCTCTGCCTCCACCCAGCCCTGTGGCTCATTCTTTTTGTTGTTGTTGTTGTTGTTTGTTTTGTTTTTTTTTTTTCAAGACAGGGTTTCTCTGTGTAGCTCTGGCTGTCCAGGAACTCTCTCTGTAGACAAGGCTGGTCTTGAACTCACTGAGATCTGCCTGCCTCTGCTTCCCTAATTCTGAGATTAAAGGTGTGCACCTCTACCACCAACCCCAAGGCACATTCTTTGTTTTTGTTGTTGGAGGGTTTTTTTTTTTCAAGATGGGGTTTCTTTGTATAGTCTTAGCTATCCTAGCACTAGCTCTGTAGACCAGGCTGGCCTCAAAATCAGAGATCTGACTACTTTTGCCTCCCAAGTGCTGGGATTAAAGATATGTGCCACCACTGCCCAGTTCCCAAGGCACATTCTTAAAGCAACACTACAATAGGAATGGTTATTACAAAGTCACCTGTCTTGACACCTGTATTTGATATCATGTCTTCCTATCACAGAAAGGCATAGGGTGACCCCAAAATTGGTCCATGACTAAAAGGTCCTAGCATGTGTGATATCTCCCCAAAGCTGCATGGGCAGATTTCTCAAGGGTATCCATCTCAACAGGCAGCCAGGGGATCAAAGCTGTTACAGCCCCTCTGGGGCTCCCTTGTGCTTTGTTGCGAGATGAGACCAAGAGGCTCCTAAAGCCTTTCCCTGGGGATGCTACTTCACGTCAGCGAGGGCTCTTTGGCTTGGCTTCCCAAGTCCCAGGGCACTGGATGTGCAGCAGGAACACTCGCCCTGTGCTGGGACAGTCCCTGAAGCGTAGACTGCAGGCCCTACAGGCATGTCTTGCCTCACAGCATCCCTGGAAATGACCCATTTCAGCTAAGTGAATCCTCCAGGTAGCTGAAGCTTGCCTCAACATTCACAACAGTAAAATGGCTAGGGACCGTTTTCCAGACCTGTCTTGTGACAAGGGTACTTTACAGGAGAGAGGGAAGCCCAGCCTAGAGTGGATTCAGCTATGTTACTATATCGGACACTTACTCTTGTCTGGTATTTTCATGAATGCCCCTCCTCAGACCACCTGTGTCCTGCTCCTGGATCTCTCTCTGAATCACGTGTGTCCACAACTCTCCCCTCTTAAAACTGTCTTGGCTCCAGCCATGTGCAGAAGAGCCAAGGGCTCAGCCTGGCGAGACCCAGCAAGGCTCTGCAACTTTTCTTTCTTTCCTCCTACACCCTCCTGCTGGGTGGCATGAGTCTCATCTCAAGTCCTGTTGTCACCTCTACCAGGAACTTGTGCGGCCTGCTGCCAATCTTCTACTGCCACCCACCTCAGTGCCCACCTTAGCCTCAGGAAAAAAAATCCTCTCCCCTCCCTGGCCTCTTCTGAAGGTTTCTCCCACTCAGGACCCTACCATGACCTAGGGCTGGGGCTTCCCTTTGTGGATGCGGCTCTGACAGATGTCTACTGTTTACCTTGTGAGAGCAGCACCCCTGGAAACATGCTCTTTATCCACAAAACCTTCTATGCTCTCCTTGTATGAGCTCCACGGTTAAGGCCTGCCTCACATCTTAGCTGCTGCTGCTGCTGCTGCTTCTTCTTCTCCTTTTTCTTTTTTGTTGTTTTTTTGTTTTGTTTTTCTTGTTTGTTTTTTTTTTTTCATTTTATTTATTTGATTTTTCGAGACAGGGTTTCTTTGTAGCTTTGGCGTCTGTCGTGGAACTAGCTCTATAGACCAGGCTGGCCTCAACTCACAGAAATCTGCCTGCTTCTGCCTCCCAAGTGCTGGGACTAAAGGCATGCACCACCACCACCTGGCTAGCTTTTTCCTTAATATGGGTTATTGCTTGGCATTTGGATCCTGGCCTCTGTCACCCTCGGCAACTGTGGCTCGGATTCATCCCTGGATCCCTGACAATGCCATGGATAGTGACCATCTGAGCCAGTCTAGAGTCAGCCTTACTCCTCCCCCCACCTCAACTCCACCCCCCTCACCCGCCCAGCACCTGTGGGAGGAAACTGCAACCTGGTTGCATTGGCTGTCTCTACATACCGTTTCTTCTAACTGGGCAGCTTCTCCATAGATGTTTGTCACAAGGACCATATTGCAGTTTCCCCCTGCAGAAAGCAAAACACAGGAAAGTCTACAATCATGTATGCCTTATGACACAAGACCCACTTAGGGTTCTGTTATGGACTCAATGTTTGTATCCCTACAATCCTCATAACCTCTGAAATTCCAACTGCAAACACCCAGTCTGATGTATCTGGAGGGGCCTTTGAGAGGTAATTACACTTAGATGACGTGAGGGCTTTCATGTGCAGCTCCTATGATGGGGCTACTGTCTTTGTAAGATACACACACACACACACACACACACACACACACACACACCATTCTTTCTACAAGAAGTGGCCAGCTGCAAGCCAGGGATGGAATCTATTGGCATCTTGATCTTGGCCTGGCCAGTCTACATAACTATAAGAAACAGTTTGTCATCTAAGCCTTCCAATCTATGGTACTTTGTTTTAACAGTCCATGCTGACGTAGAGGCGGAGGAGACAACCCTACTCTGCCTGAGGCTAGGAGGCAAGAGACAGAGAGGTAGGGATGGAGAGAGACCGTAAGGTGTACCAAGAAGGAACCAGGAGAGAACGACAACTCGGGAAACTGGAGAAAGCTCAGGAGGGAAGGTACAGGTTAGGGCCTTTCTCCTGACATCACAGGAATCATAAGCAGAATCCAGGGACTGTGTCATTAGGCCCAACACAAAGCGGGCCTAAAGTGGGGGCGAAAAGATGGCTCCCACTGTTGTGTCCAGGAAGAAATAAAGGAAAAGAGGGAAATGATGGGAGAGGCCCTTTTCCCGAGTCTCCAAGACCACACAGATCTCCGCCAAACAGTTCAGGGACAAGGGGGAACACAGAGGCAAAAGTTTGAGTAGAGATTCTAAGGTGCAAGCAGCAAGAGTGCAAGAAGGCTTGCCTGTGGGTCTGACTGGCTTCATTCCTCAAGAGTGGCAACTAACTTCAACCCGGGGCAAAGTGGGTCTCTGATCCCTAAGGGCAGATAAGGCCAGCCTAGTCTTCCCCAGGAAGACCCTCCTTTCTGTTCACACCCTTACCTAAGGAGTCTTTTAGGGCGTGGGTGAGCTTGCACTGCCGGAAAGGAATGTGGTCCCGCTTCTGGTCCCCAAGGGCAATGATGGCCTGCTCCAGGAACGACAGCGACTTGTTGATGTAGGTGGCTTCCTTTAGGACTCTACCTTCTGACTGCAAACAAAATGTCTGGGTCACTCTAGACAGAGGAGGGAGGCTACCCTATTAAAATCGTCTACCCTTCCTAGTTTACAGTGATACAAAAGTCTACAGTCATGCTGGGGCCTCCTTCCCAGAGCCAGGACTTTTTTCTCCAAGTTAGGAGTGTTTTCCATCTTGGGCTACTGATAACTGTTACAGTAAAATTCACAGGGAGCCGTGCAGTAGTGATGCACGTCTTTAATTCCAGCACTCGGGAGTCAGAGACAGGAGAATCCCTGTGAGTTTGAGGTCAGCCTGGTCTATGGGAGCTAGTTCCAGAACAGCTAGGACTACACAGAGAAACCCTGTCTTAAAAAATCAACCAACCAACCAAACAATAAGAAACTCGCTGGAACATTCACATGAAGGTTGATGCGAACAAGAATACATACACTCAAGTCAGGCAGTGGTAGGCCTTTAATCCCATCACTGAAGAGGAAGAGGCAGACAGATCTCTGAGTTCGAGGCCAGCCTGGTCTACACAGGGAGTTCTAGGATAGCCAGGGCTACACAGAGAAACACTGTCTTGAAAAACAAGAAAACAGACCAAAAGAATATATACGTGAATATTCATATGATACTCATTCCAAGGTGCACCCTGATGCAAATACAAAAGTACATGGAATACTTGAGCAAGTATAATATTTACAGAAATATAGTAATACACACACATGCAAATGCTCAAAATATTTGCATAAAATTTTACATTAAAATACTTTTGCAAAAATATGCTTAAAATTAAACATGCTTGTGAATATTCCTATCCAAATACAGAGAAACATCATACCAGTGTGGAGCATTTGCTGAGCAATACTGAAAGTAGGGGAGGGATAATTAAAAGGAACCCAAATCGTTCCCATCCAAAGAATGTTCACAGGAACGAAACCTTTGTAGTGCTCCTGCATCTCCCTACCATGTAAAAACTGTTTATGCAAAAACCCCCGCTGTATTTCCAAAATGTGATGACCCAGAGAGGTCACACTTTCCTCCAATTCATTTGCACCACTTTTCAAAAGTAGCCAGTCACCAAAGTCTGTGAGGTCAGACCCCAGCCAATGGAGAAATGACACAGTACTCTGTTAGGAAAAAGACCTATCGTATTTTTCGCTGGGTCTACTTGTTACCTGAAAGAAGCAGTGTACCCTTTGGCGAAAGTAAAAGCTTACTTGCCAGTTTACTTTCATTTTGTGTGATGATGGTGAGGTCCTAAACCTGGGTTTGTTTCCAACACAGGCACTAGATTAAGGGGAGTCATGTCATGAACAGTTTAGAAAAGCCCTGTAGAGTACTAACTGTGCCCGGCAGCAGCTACTCTCCCTCCAGTGACCCCTTACTGCACTCCACTTCACCTGGCTGTTCCCAAGCATCCAGTGTGGGAGATGCATACGTGGGTTCTATGCCACAGGCCTGGGAGGTACATACACAGGCTTTATGCCGCAAGGTCCATGGCTTGCTGACAGGGTACCCACCCCACGACCCTTACTTACCCCTGTCTTCCCCAGCCTCTCTGAGCCAGCCAGATCTACCAAGTTGATTTTGGAAGTGATATACTTTTCATCTGATAAGGTCCGAGAGTGGGCCTACAGAAACATCCAAACAGAATTCAGAATGCAGCGGGAGGAGTTTCTGGCTGGGCAGCGTCACCGGTCCCGGGAGTCACCCGTCCCCATGCTGAACAAGGAACGCGCACCTACCTCCATGTAGATGGTGAAGATGCAGTGTGACCTGGATGAATTTTTGTTCATTGTGTGGGAAGCGATGATCCTGTTGGTCTCTCCCTGAAGAGGAAATTATACGCAGCATTTCGAAAACCGGAATACCTGAGTAATTTTCTAACACTCACACCACTATGATCAGCCGGGCCTTCTGGGAAAATGTCTTTTGAAAGCTAATAAAAGGAAAACAAACTGGAATTTGGTCCTATACTTTCACCACCCGATATTTGGGGTGAAGTGTATAAACTGGTGTTTTCTGAAAAGTGAGACACAGTGAGAAGCAAGATAGGGGTTGGAGAAATGGCTCAGTAGTTAAGAGCACTTGCTGCTCTTCCAGAGTTGGCAGGTTCGATCCCCAGCACCCACATAGCAAACTGTCTCTAACTACAGTTCCAGGGATCCAGTGCCCTCTTCTGACTTCAGTGGGTCTTGCAAGCAAGTGGGATGCCCTTCTGTATGCTGTGAATATGTTTTATTACCATTGGTTAATAAAGAAACTGCTTTGGCCTATGGCAGGGAAGAATAAGGCTAGACAGGAAATCCAAACAGATACAGGGAGAAAGAAGGCAGAATCAGGGAGATGCCAGCAGCTACTGGAGAAGCAAGATGTGAAGTAATAAGCCACGAGCCTCATGGTAAAATATAGACTAATAGAAATGGGTTAATTTAATATATAAAAGCTAGTTAATAATAAGCCTGAGATAATAGGCCAAATAGTTTGTCTCAGAGTGGTTATTTAGGAACTGGCAGGTAAGAGACAAACCTCCAGTTACAGTACACATACATTCATGCAGGCAAAATACTCATAGACATAAAGGAAGTGCCTTGTTCAAGGTGTTGTGCAAGTTTACTGGGGTGTGGGGGTCATCAATGGTCTTACCTAGTGCTGAACCCTGAATGCTATAATACTGACCTGCCAGGCCTCCTGGTACAATAGAGGCATGGTAGTTATGTGGAGCATGAATAATAAAAGCTCAGAGATAGATATTGGGGTTCAAGCTGAAGATAGAAAAGCAAAACAGCCAAGCCACAGGAAAAGTCTTACCCCTACCAAGACTGGGCAATTGCAGACTGAGCCTTGAACCTCTGTCTCCTCCCATTTTATATTCCCCTTTAGTGCTGGGATTTTTTTTTTTTTCTGAGACAGGGTTTCTCTGTAGCTTTGGGGCCTGTCCTTGAATTAACTCTTGTAGACCAGGCTGACCTCAAACTCACAGAGATCTGCCTTCCTCTGCCTCAAGTGCTGAGATTAAAGGTGTGAGCTACCACCACCTGGATCTGTTTCTGTATTGATCTTGTGTAGCCCAGGATAGCTTTGAATTCAATAAGATACATCTGCCTCTGTTTCCCAAATCCATATGACCCTCAGACCATATGTAAAGTTATTACAGAAATCTTTCAGTTCTTGCTCCTGAGAAGTCTTCTGAGTTACCCTGGATAGTGGCTTGGGAGCTGGACTTCCAGACCACTAAACTTGCCTAACAAGTTTGGTCCTCAGCACTGCTAAGAGGGTGAGAGAAAAAGAACACAATTAGTTCATCTATGTAAGGCCAGGCATGATGGTGCAGATCTATAACACCAGCTACTCAAGAGGTGAAGGTAGGAGGATCACAAGTTCAAAGCCTACCTGAGGCCGGGCGATGGTGGCACACGCCTTTAATCCCAGCACTCGGGAGGCAGAGGCAGGCGGATCTCTGAGTTCGAGACCAGCCTGGTCTACAGAGCTAGTGCTAGGACAGGCTCCAAAGCCACAGAGAAATCCTGTCTCGAAAAAAAAAAAAAGCCTACCTGAGTTGCAGAATGACATCATAGCCAGCCTTGACATCTTTGGGTTTTTGTTTGTTTTTTTGGGGGTTGTTTTGTTTTGTTTTACAGGGTTTATCTGTAGCTTTGGAGCCTGTCCTGGATCTAGCTCTTGGAGACCCAGGCTGGCCTCAAACTCACAGAGATCTGCCTGCCTCTGCCTCCTGAGTGCTGGGATTAAAGGCGTGTGCCATCACTGCCTGGCGGCATCTTTGTTTTTTTTTTTTTTAGATGAAGTCTGACTATGTAGCCCAGGCTGGCCTTAAAGTCAGCCATCTTCCTGCCTTAGCCTCCCAAGTGCTGGCATTACAAGAATGTACCATTACAATTGACTCAGCCTGGGCAATTTAAGAATCTGTCTTAAAATAAAGGAGGACATAGGAGAAGCTGGAGAGATGGCTCAGCAGCTAAGAGTGAGCACTATTCTTGTAGGAGGGCCCAAATTCAGTTCTCAGCATTTACATGCGGAAGCTCAAAACCACCTGAAGTCAGTTTCAGAGAACCCGATGCAATCTCCTGGTCTTTGCGCGCGCACACACACACACACACACACACACACACACACGCATACATATAATTAAAAATTAAAATGTTTTCAAAAGTAAAAGGGGGTTAGAAATATAGTTCAGTAACAGAGGACTTTTCTAGCATGTATAAAACCCTTAGCTCAGCCTCCAGCACCACAAACAACCTCACAGAAAGAAAGAACCGGAAGGACATAATCTAAAATATGTTTTTGTTGCTTTAAATGAAAGACATTTTATGAATTTTGGTTCTTCTTACTCAACACTAAGATTTCTAAATAAACACACATGAATTTTCATTCTGATTATCAAAGTAAATAAAACTATGAAGGAAGTAGGGAAGTGTAAGATAAGGAAGGGGGGAGGGGAGAGGGGAGAGCAAGGGAGGGAAGGGGCTCTCTGATTACCTCACCTCAAAGAGAAGGCTGAATGCATCCTCCTCTTGACTTGTGAGGTGGACCGACAAGCCCTTAATGAAGACCCCTTGAGGGTTTTCCACGATGGTCATTGGTGTGACTGAGGGTCCAACATAGGGCAGCGTCGACAGGAGGTCAAACAGGTTCTCGTTATAGATTTCCAGGTAGGAAACACGCACAGTGATGGCATGTGTGGGGCGCTCTTCAATCATCTTAAAAACCTAGATGGAAATTTGACCACAGTCACTAAGAGCCAACTAGTTAATGTCAGCCCACGTCTATCTCAGGAGAGAGCATCAGGAGTGCAGCACCATTCTTGTCCTGAAGGGGTTCCCAGTCTGGCTGATGTCATGATAATGGCCGCCATCAACACCTCGTGTTGTCAGCCTACCGTCTAAGACTATCCACTTCCGGTTTTATTGTTTTGGTTGCTTTTTGACGCAGGCTTTCACACTGTGTCCCTGGCCGACTGGAATTCAAAATGTAGCCCAGTTGATTATCTAACTCACCAGCTCCCTGCTTCAGTCTTCCCAAGTACTGGAATTACAAGTATGAGCCATCGTGCCCAGCTAGAGATGTTCAAGTGTGCTGTTTGTTTTGAGACAGGGTCTCATGGAACCCAAATTGCTTGGGAATTCTCAGTGTAACCAAAGATGACCTCGGACTTCTGATCCTCTTGCCTCCATTTCCTGATCACAAACACATGCCACTGTGCCTTTTTGGTCCTTCAGTGCTGGGGCTCAAATCCAGGGCTTTGTGCATGTTAGGCAAGCTCTTTACCAAGTGAGCTACAGTTTCAGCCTTTACATATTGAAACTTTGACAATGGGATAGTAAGAATATTACTTCAGAAAACGAGCATGTCGGGTTTATAAGAAAGGCTCCCCCACCCCAGAGACAGGGTTTCTCTGTGTAGCCCTGGCTATCCTGGAACTTACTCTGTAGATCAGTCTGGCTTTGAACTCAGAGATTCAACTGCTTCTGCCTCCTCCGAGTGCTGGGATTAAAGGCATGGACAACCATGCCAGCCCAGCAGGAGGAAGGCCTTTGCATCCTCACAACACCTGGGCTAGCAGGTCCCAAGGGAAGGCCCTTCTGCCCAGGCTTCTGCTTTAATCCCAGAACCATGGCTGCCACAGTCTTAAAGGCTCAGTCATGCTCTGCTTCTTGTCCTTCTTCTTTCAGGAGCTACTGAATGGAAGAAGCCACAGCAAGATAATACATAAGCTCGAAAAAAGCTGCTCCCCTTCATTAAAACCAGCAACAAGCATGATTAGGCCCTCCAAATCCTTAATTACAGGGTCACAGACATGGGAGCAGCGGGAGCCTGATTAGCATGCCTGCTCTCTCCTTCACAAATAAGGAAGCAGGCTTAATAAGTCAGCGAGAGTCTGCCTGAAAATCAAAGCCCTGGTTTTCTCAGGACTCTGACTCTACCCCAAGCGCCGTCATAGCATCCTGTCTCCAGAGCCAATGCTAGTTATAGTTCACTTGAAGGCTCTAGTAGCCAACCTGGAGGGAAGAGGGTAGCTGTGTGGCATCCCAACCAGGGGCCCATTCTCTACCTGCTGCAGGGCACGAGGGAGAATACCCCGGTGCTTGTAATTCTCAGTTGCCCCCGTCATGGTGTATGTCTTGCCGGCTCCTGTCTGCCCGTAACACATGATGGTACCTGCAAACATTTCAAGATATGTCTGAGTGACATTCAGACAAAGTCACTTCAGGGACAACTCTTGTATCCTCAACATGCTTGGTGCCATCTGAGACACTTGATAAAGTTAAGGTAGCTAGTAGAAACATCCAAAGACATCAGGACTGGAAGAGGGCAAGTACACAGAGAACAGGGACCTAAACAGTCAGAACATGAACTTGTGCCCTCAGCCTGTGATCTACATAGAGCTCTACACTCTTCTCTTCCTAGATGACCTGGTCCTAGGGTTAGGGGACGCTGTGGCTGCAGCTTTTCTTGAAGAGAATAGGACGGAGCCGGAGCATTAGACTCCAGTCCTTCTCAAGGCCATGAACGGAGAGCTAGCAGAAGACACCCCACAGAGACAAGTTTCCAGAAAGAGAAGGAGTAAGAGGGGTGAGCTTTTTTGTTGATCTGTTTGAGACATGGTCTCACGTAGCCCACACTGGCATCTAGCTATGTAGCCAAAAATGACTTGAACTCCTAATCTGCCTGCTTCTACTGCCCAAGTACTGGGATAGCTAGCCTGTGACCCTACTCCTTGCTAAGAGAATTTTTAATAGACTACAAAGCTACTAGTTAGTACCATGTCACTTCCAGAAATGGGTCACCATGACTGGGCCATGACCTGTGTCCAACTGCCTACCCTGGCAAGACTTCCATTTGCACCTTTTACATCATCATTGCTCTGGGACGCAAACCATTGTCACCTTGGGTGCTGGGATTGGAGGTAGGTTTTAAATGAGGGGCCCTGATTCAGCATCTGAGTTGGAGCCAGAAACAGCAGTGAGCCCATTGCTAATGAACCAGAAGTCATTCAGTTGGCAGTCAGAGCCCATCTGTAGCTCTGTAGCACCAAGTACCTGACTATTAAGCTTCCTAGTTCTCAATCCCCCCCATCTTTACCTCCAGGCCACAGCCTCTCAGGGAATCATGAAAATATCATTGGTCAGTGAGGACCACACATATTTTTCACATGAATAATATATTACAATGCTGGCACCTCAAGACTCACTGGATTTTCATCACAAAACTGAGTCTGGCTATATAATTCAAACTGTTCTCAAATTCCTAATCAGCCTGTCTCTACCTCCCAAGTGCTGGAATTACAAGCATGCACAACTATGCCTGGCTCTCTTTATGGACATTCCTATAGAAAATCTAAAACTTTTGGAGCTGTGTATAGCAAACAGAACATGTGCTTAATATTTGCTTTTTTATGCTTCCTACCAAGCAACCAACCAGCAATAAACCCTTGCAAAATAGAGAACACTCTAATCAGTGGCCACCAGAAGCAAAGTCTGTAAACTGCAACTTTATTTTTATTTTTAAGTTTTTTTTTTTAATTTTTAGATAGGGCCACATGTAGCTGAGGCTGGCATCTCACTGGTAGTAGCTGAGGATGACTTTGAACTCCTGATCCTACTGCCTCTACTTCCAAGTGCTGGAATTACATGAATTTGCTATTGCACCACACTCCCAAGGTGCTGGATTTTTTGTTTTGTTTTTGATTTATTTTTAAATGTATGGGATGTTTTGCCTGCATGTCTGTCTGTAGATCATGTGCGTGCCTGGTCCCAAAGAGGCCAGAAGAAGGTGTTGGACTCCCTTGGAACTGGCGTTATAGAAGGTTGTGAGCTGCCTGTGGGAGCTGGAAATTGAGCCTGGGTCAAGAGCAAGCAGTCAGTGCTCCTAACTGAGGAGCCATTTCTCTAGCCCCATTAACTTTTATAAAGATTAAAAAACAAACAAAACAAAACATATGTAATGGCACAGGACTGTACTGTAATCATAGGACTGGGGAAGCAGAGGCAGGAAAACTGGCACAAGGTCAAGGCCAGTCTGGGAATATAGAGCAAAATCCTGTTTAAAAACCTACTTTATTCCAGCACTCAGGAGGCTAAGCATTCAGATATGTGAGTATGAGGTCAGCCTGGTGTAGACAGTGAGTTCTAGGATAGCCTAAGGCTACACAATGAGATCTTGTCTCAAAAAACAAAAACCAAACAATAACAACAAAACCCAAACTAGGTGGTGATGTCACACACCTTTAGTCCCAGCATATGGGAGGCAGAAGCAGGCAGATCTCTGAGTTTGAAAATAAAAACTTTAAAATAGTCTTTGAGCAAATAAGTTTATAAAAAAACTAGAGATGACTGGAAAGGAGGAGACATTTCAGGGTCAGGTAGAAACCTGGTGCAAGGAAAACTCCCAGGAATTTACAGGGATGACCCCAGCTAGGACTCCTAGCAGTAGTGGATATGTACACTGAACTGGCCATCTCCTGTGATAGGTGAGACTTCCAGTGGAGGGATTGGGACATCAACCTAGCCACACAACCTATGACCCACAGTCTGTCCTATCTATGGGATGTGCGGGGGAAAGAAGGGTGTGAGGGTTGCAGAGAGATGTGGCAGCAGCCAACCAATGACTGGTCCAGCCTTAGACCTATGCCATGAAAGTGAGCCCACCGATGTCACTGCATGGAGTGCCAGGACCCAGAGGATGGATGGCCCAGAGACTTGGAACAGAAGCAAACGTGACTGGAGGGAAAAAAATGTCAATGTAATGAAGCTGAACAATATTCTGCTATACTCATAGATTTATGAGTATACCCCCAATTGTTATCAGTGAGCCTTCATCCAGTAACTGATGGAAACAGATGCACAGATCCACAAACATTAGGCCAAGCTCAGGGAATCCTGCTGAAGAGAGGGAGGATGGGCTGTAGGAGCCAGAGGGGTCAAGGACACCACAAGAAAACCCACAATAACAACTAACCTGGGCTCATAGGAGCTCACAGAGTCTGAACCAACAACCAGGGAGCTTGCATGAGACTGACCTACATATATGTGACAGTTGTGTAGATTGGTCTACTCGTGGGACTCCTAACAGTGGGAATAGGGGTCCCTAACTATTTGACTGGCTTTGGGGAACCTGTCCTCATACTGGACTGCCTTGCTCAGCCTGAATACAAGGGGAGGCGCTTAGTCCCATCAAAACTTGATATGCTGGCCGGGCGATGGTGGCGCACGCCTTTAATCTCAGTACTCGGGAGGCAGAGGCAGGCGGATCTCTGTGAGTTCGAGACCAGCCTGGTCTACAGAGCTAGTTCCAGGACAGGCTCCAAAGCCACAGAGAAACCCTGTCTCGAAAAAAAAAAAAAAAAACCTTGATATGCTATGTTTTGTTCATCCCCATGGAAAGCCTGCCCCTTTCAGAACAGAAACAGGAGTGGATGGATGGAGGGAGGGAGGGAGGGTGGCGCAGAGGGGAGGTTGGGGATGGGGAAAACTGGTTGAGATGTAAAATTAAATAAATGTAATTTTTAAAAATTCCCAATAAAGTTATTTTTAGGCTATGCATGGTTGCTTATACCTTTAATACCAGCACTTAGGAGGCAAAGGCAGAGGCAGAGGTAAGTAGTTCTCTGTGAGTTTGAGGCCAGCCTGGTCTACATAGTGAGTTCTAGGCCAGACAGGGCTACATAGTGAGATTGATACTGGGATTAGGTCTCCCTCCCAAAACCTCAATGTTTGAGAGATTTGAAACAAGACTATAGCTGGTAACCTGAGAACCATGAAAAGTTGGGGTCTTCTAACAATCCAACAAAGGTAAGAGACTGGATAGAACCATGCCTACAGCAGATGTTCTACCACTAGAGCACAGGCTGACAAGCTTAGAATGTTAGTAGGCAAAGGTCTTAGGTCTTATTTTATTCAGAATAAAGTATCTCTTGTACCTCTTCCTCCAGGAGGGTCTCCGCAGAGTCCTAGATAAAACAACAACTGATTAAATTACCATTGTATCCATCAAGGGCTTGAGAAACTGCATCCCTGGCGACTGTTTCATAAACCAAGTCCTGGGAGGCATCATGAAGAACTCCATCCAGCTTGAATGACCAGTCTGTCTGCTGGTTATTGACAACTCCTCTCCGACTATCTTTTTTCAAGTGAATATCAATGCTCTGGGGGGGGGGGGTGGAGAGAGAGAGAGAGAGATCAGGTGTGGATGATACACACCTGAAATCCCCTGCTGGAAGGCTGAGTCAGGAAGAGCTGGAGTTTCAGGACGGTCTACATAGTAAGAAACATCAAAGAAGAGGCAGTTGGAGTTATTTTTAGGAAACATTTGTAAAATGATCTCTGATAGCACTCAGAAAACAGAGGTAGGTGGATCTCTGTGAGTTCAAAGTCGGCCTGGTCTACATAGAGAGTTCCAGGACAGCCAGGGCTACAGAGGGAGATTGTATCAAATAAACAAACACATAATCACTGATAACTGAGGAATGACAGAGAAAACAAAGGATGTGAAATTTTTAAAGTTTTTAAGATTTATTTTACATGTGTGACTATTTCATGTAAATGTATATGCGTGTACCACATGTGTGCCTGGTGCCTGCAAAGTTTAGAAAAAGGTGTCAGATCCCCTGAACCAGAGTTACATACAGTTGTGAACTCTCTCTCATACTGGTACTGAGAATGAAGCTCAGGTCCTCTGCAAGAGCAGCTAGTGGATAGAACTTAAATACAGAGCCATCTCTCCAGTCCCAATTTATCAGGTTCTGATTAAATCAGATTTAGCTACATCCCATAAGTATAGAAGCTTTGAATTAGGTAAGAGTAGCAGTGAAATTGGAAAGAATGGCCCTGGCTTTCAGGCTCTGTCTGTGTGGCCACAGGTGGTGACGCCCTCTATCCTCCATCTGTGTGGCCACAGGTGGTGACGCCCCTCTATCCTCCATCTGTGTGGCCACAGGTGGTGACGCCCCTCTATCCTCCATCTGTGTGGCCACAGGTGGTGACACCCCTCTATCCTCTGTACTATGTTCAGGGTTTACTTCACAAACAGTTGTAAATCACTGGGAGTAATGATGAAATGGGCACATAAGTCTTTGAACTTTTCCAACATAGTTAGTCACTTGTGTTAAAGTAAATTGCATGTTGGGGGATATTTAATCACACTGTGAACTCCAAGTTTGCATTTGTATTAATTAAAAAAAATTAACCTTGGGTCAGGAGGCTGTGTTTGCAACCTGTTGACAGAAAGTGATCATAGAGTACCTGAGGGCATCCGGGGGAGATAGAGAGACACTGGAAGTAGCAGGGTGGGGTTCAGAGTGGTGAGGCCTTTTCTGGTTTGGGGAAACCAAAGCATGGGTCTTTGGGAGACACCAGCAAGGAGAGAAGGTTAGCTAATTGTGACCCAGCCTCTCTGATGTAGCAGGTTTTTACCCCAGTCTTTGAATTTTGAGTCTTATTTATAAATAGAATGACAGAGAATTAGTTAAAGCTGCCTTTAGCAGCTGGGACAGAGCAGGTGCCTGTGGGAACAGAATTCCCACCAGTCTGTGGCCTGAGCAGCCAGGCCACTGCTAGAGAAGCAGACTGGCAACTGAGGAGTTGCAATTGCTGGCTGAAATAGCAGCATGTTAAGGCGTAGCCACCATGCAGAAGTTAAAACAGCTAATCAGCAGATTTTCAGATGTACCTTCAACCAATTCCCAGTAAGTTCCCAAGCATTTTTAAAGACATTTTTGCGAAACAAAGACTCGCTTTGAATTTAGGTATTTGGACTTTTCCTTTCAGTCTCTCAGCTGTTCACAGTATAGCACCATGCCCGCTAATTCCCAGCTCTTGATGGGGGCTCTCACTGCAATCTTCTACTGGTTGCTAGAACCCAAACTCCAAGACCTAGCCACCTAGAGAAGAAAACTACGGCCAAGGCAGAAGGGGTCACCAGGTGTGGTGATGTGTGCCTATCATCCCAGAACCTGGGAAGGAGAAGCAAAAGGATCAAGAGTTCCAAGTCATTCTCTGTTAAACGGCCAGTTGGGTTACATGAGACCCTGTCTCCAGAAAAAAATCAAAACAAACAAGCAACACCACATATTAAACATTGCCTCCCAAGGTTCCTGCTCTGTGCTTCTCTGTGTGTCAAAATCATGCCCATGGAGCATGCTATCCAGGGTCCTTGAGGTCTTTTCTGACTACCAGCACTTTCAAGACCTGAGCAATTCATTCTTGAACTATTCATTTAAAAAGGGTCTACCTGTAGGCTGGCAAGATGACTCAGTGAGGAAAGGTGCCTGCCACCAAGTCTGACAACCCAAGTTTGGTTCCCCAGGACCCATGTGGTGGAAGGAAAGAATCTACTCTACAGTCCCACAAGCTGCTCTCTGACACCCACATTTGTGCTGCAGCACGTGTGTGTGTGTGTGTGTGTGTGTGTGTGTGTGTGTGTGTGAACGTGCATACAACAGCATCCGTATGGAATCTGGAGGACAACTTTGAGGAGTTGATTCTCTTTCCACTTGTGGGTCCAGGGAGGAGAACTCAGGTCTTCATACTTGGTAGCAGGCAGGCAGGCAGGCATCTCTCCCCACGGAGCCATCTCTCCAGTCTCTCTGTTCGATCCTGAAATGGCTGCTGGGAAACAGGTCACACTGAGCTGGGAAAGGAAGGACCGGACAGGTGAAAGCAAACACATCGCACTTACTTTGTTGTCATCTCCGTATTTGATCATTTCGTGAGCAAAGTCATCAGTAGGCTTGACACGGACGAACGCTTGAACCTTTTTCCTAGTACCCATTCTAGCTAGAGAGAAGAGAACAACAACGGATTTAGCAGCCAGCATCAAATACCAACTAGAAGGGAAAAGTCATTTGTCAAGATTGTAATGAACGCCTGGCATGGTGGTGCACATATGTAACCCTAATACTTGGGTGGTGGATCAGAGTTCAAGGCCAGCCTCAGCTCCATTGTGAGCTGGAGGACAGCTTGGGCTACAAGAGACCAGCTGCAATCCACCATCACCACCCACCAAGTACATGAAGTACATGCCGCCCCCCCCCCCCCCGTCCCCCATCTTGGCCTGGTTGTAGCCGCTGTTTCTAGAAATGCCCTATGTCTAAGATGAGCCCATTCATGCTTTGCTTCATTTACTCCATTTTCTCCTGACATACTTGCTTGGAACACACTAAAGTCTGTTGCCTTCTCTTCATTAAGAGGTTTTTTTTTCATGCCTCTGTCTCCATCAGACTAACTTCAGAATAGATAAAGTATCTTTCAATATATAGACATATATATGTATATATTATTAGGGATGAGAGGCAACTGCCTTAGCCTGCGGCAGTGGTCCAAGGTCAATGCAGTCAGTTCTCCCTTCCACCTTGTGGGTTCCAGGATCAGACCTGTGTCCTCAGGATTCCAATGCAAGCACTTTACTTGCTGAACCATCTTGCTAGCCCTAGAATAAATATTCTTTTCTCTTTGTTTTGATTCATGTGTGTCTATGTGAGTATATATCACATGTGTGCAAGGACCCTTGGAGGCCAGAAGAGTGTGTCTGATGATCTGGAGCTGGAGTTACAGGCAGTGATGAGCTGCCTGACATTGGTGCTGGGAAAAGCAATAAGCACTTTAACCGCTGAATCATCTCTCAAGCCCCTCATTAAGTGTTCTTGATCTAGTCCATAATCAAATAGATTTTCTCCTCTCACATTGATGGAAAAAACAGTCTTTTGTTCCCCCTCTTGCTCTCCTAACACCTTAAAAAAAGGTTTGTTTTTATTTTATGTCTGTGGGTGTTTTTCCTTTATAAATGTCTGAATGCAACATATGTGCCATGCCTGTGATGGCCAGAAGAGGGTACTGGATTCCTCTGGAACCAGAGTTACAGACAGTTGGGAGCCACCATGTGGGTGCTAGGAACTGAACACAGGTCCTCTGGAAGAGCAGCCAGTGCTTTTGACTGTGGAGCCATCTCTCCAGCCCCCTCAAAACAGGGAGTCACACATATATTTGTCTTTATTCACTATACCATAACTATATATATATGTATATATATATATTAAAATAAATGTTTGCTGCAGCTTTGTGGATGGACACTGTAAAAGAATGGGATAGTTGTGATAGGGAGGCAAGCTTAGTCAAAAGACTTCTCTAACTATGAAGAGTTCTCTCAAAACAGATAAGACCTTGTGGTTACAGAAACTAAAGTTAAATGAAATCCAAATGCTAGTTAGAAGAGATGTCACCAATGGGACAGCTGCACTGAAGTCCCACAGTGGAGAAGCAAAGAAGTGACTGAATGGAATTGATATTCAACTACTTTGTTTTGTCTTGAGACCGAGATTCATGTATCCCAGTCTGGCCTTTTAAAATTAATTAATTTATTTTTTAAAATTAAAATTAAATTTTAAATTAAAATTAATTTAATTAATCTAAGTGTGTGGAAGTCAGAACACATGGGTTCCAAGGAGGAAACGCAGATCACCAGACATGCAAGGCCAGTAGTATTCCTTTACTCATGAGCATCTCCCTGGCCCAAGGCTAGCCTTTAACTCCTTCGCCTTCTCTCTTCACGTCCCAGCTGCTGTTGTGACAGGTGGATACTGTGGTGCCCAGCTAACTGTCATGACTTTAAGGGGGACTAGAAACTTGGTCACTTTTTCCAGTGTTTCATGCTGTATAGAGATGCTAGAGGACTAGAATGACACAAAATCCTACGACTCTAAGAAAAGGTAAATAAAATCTACTTATCAAAATCATCTATTTTGTTAAATCTAGCTAATTTATACTAAAACTCAAGAAAAGACTATAAAAATATACTAAATAATTTGATTAGGAAAACTGACATAGTACAGTTTTAAGCTGAAGCACTCTGTGTGTGTGTGCACGTGCATGTGTGTATGCACATGTGTGTGCATGTATCCTTACCTGTGAGTGTGTGTACAAGTAGAGTGGAAACAGGATGTCTGCACTATTGATTTCCACCTTATATTCTGAAGCAGGGTGTCACTGTACCTGGAGCTCACCATTTTGGCTATGCTTGTTGGCCAGGAAGCCTAAAAGATGCACATGTTTCTAAGCTCCAGCGAGCAGCTTTTATGTGGGAGTTATGGATGCAATCTCAGGTCTTCATGCTTGAAGCGGCAAGGACTTTATCCAGTGAGACATCTCAGAGCCCTAAGATGGGCCCTTCCTAAGTCAGGGGTGGGGGCAGACCACTAAGGTGGTCTGTGGTGTCTGCCTAAAATTGCAGCACTTGGGAAGTGAGGGCCTGAAGATCAGAAGTTCAAGGTCATTCTCAGTTATGTAGAGAGTTCAAGGCCAGTCTGGGGTAAACAACACCCTGTCTCAAACAAACAAAAAAAAAAACCCAACACCATTTGTAACTATTATTGTACAATGTACAAAACAAAATTTAAATACAGAAAAGGTCCACACAGCGGGATGTAGGCTGCGCTGTACACTTCCCCTCTAATTGCCCCATCAGGGTTGGGCAGGTTCAAGAAGGAATAAAACATCTTCCCCCAAGTAACCTGCACTTTTACTGAGAGAGGAGACAGGGAAGAAGATTGGAGAAAAGGAAAAACAAGCATTTATCAGCAAAAAAATTGGCTGAATTTATGAAAAGTTAGGGAAATGTCAGACAAAGGAAGTTGATTCAGTCTCCTAACAAACTGGGTGGATGTGTAATGATTTTTAAAAAACCTTTACAGAAAAACATTCTCATGTGAAACAGAATCTTTTCTAATACTCATAGAAATTATATAAGGCACCAAATGTTGTGGCTCATGCCTTTAATCGCAGCACTCTGAAGGCAGAGGCAGGAGGTTCTATGAGTTTGAGACCAGCTTGTTCTACATACCGAGTTTTAAGCCAGCCAAAGCTACATAGTAAGACTCTGGGTCAAACAAATAAACACATGAAAAAGGAATAAAAGGGCCAACAAAATGGCATGGGTAAAGGCACCTGCCACCAAGCTTGATGATCTGAGTTTGACCCCCAAGGACTTACACGGATGGTGGAAGAAAAGACCCAATTACTCCAAGCTATCCTCTGACTTTCACACATGTTCTTTGGCACATATGGGCACTCGTGTGGGCACACAATGCACACATACATTTAATAAACTATAAAAATATTAAAAGCATATTAAATAATTAATAGTAATATTTTACATGTACTTTTCTAATAGATGTGCAAAGGTGCTACCTAACAAAAATTAGTCTAGATTTTAAAAGTATTAGTGGCGTTCACATTTCTAAACACAGCTCAAGATCATTTCCTCTTGCAATTACATCATCACTATGGCGTTATGGATCCTACAGAAACAAATTAACTCCAGGGTGCTGCTCTGCCAGCTGCCAGTTTTGACAGTGTGGATACAATGAAAGCATCACCCATCATATGCAGAGCAGGTAAACCAGGTAAGCGAGCACAGCACTCCCAGATTGCCTCTTCCGATGTGAGCATTTTCTATCCTTCAATGACTATTTCATGGGAGCCTTTTCCTAGCACTCTTGGAACTTTTAGAATCTTTTGGTTGCTAGAAAATTATTCCAAAAAATATTGGGGTAAGACAAAAAAACGTGCCGGGCAGTGGTGTCGCACGCCTTTAATCCCAGCACCCTGGAGGCAGAAGTAGGCGGATCTCTGTGAGTTCAAGACCAGCCTGGTCTACAGAGCAAGTTCCAGGGCAGTTAGAGCTGTTACACAGAGAAACCCTGTCTCAAAATACAAACAAACAAATAACAAAATAGAAAAGAACAGGACGTGGCTTGGTTGAACATTTTTGTCTGCAAAACTGAGCTCTATGGAAAAAAAAAATTCCGACGTAGCTCTAATGTGAGGCCCAGACTAAGGAAACAGAAGGGAAGGTTTCATTTCCAGCTCCGCTTTGACTTATATTACCGAAAACTGAAGAGTAGAGAGAAGTGGTTTGTTGGTCACAATTTTATAAACTGCTTTCCTTGAGATAGTGTGTCACAGTGTAGCCCAGGCTGGCCTTGAAACACAGTCCTCTTGCCTTAGCTTCCCAAGGGTTGGGACAGCGCCTCCAGGTAAGGGGTGCACTTTCTACTCAATTATCTACAGTTCTGGGAAACCCTCCTCAGGACAAACCACAAGAGCCCATCTTCCTGCCCAGGAAGATTCCAGTGCCATTGAGGATAACCTCTGGAAGGGATTGTAAAGAATCCAGGGAGCTCTGGAAGCAAGTTCCAGGCCAGCTCAAGGACTTTCCCCCAGCTTTCCTCCTTCTCCGCCCTGAAAAGTCCCGCATGCACATGCACATGCAGTAATCAGCCATCTGTTGTCCCCGAGGCTCTCTTGATGCTCATGCCACCAAACATTCCTGGAGTCACACGCAGCCTGCAATGGGCCCTTCCGAGGATCTATGCTCCTTGTGCGATCCTACTACTCAACAGCACATCAAAGCCGCATGCCATTTTGCACTTACTGAAATACTGCTTGTTACCGTTCTTGTGTCGCTTCATTTATGTGGGCTTCAGCTCTCAAAGCAAACTACAAGCTGCTTGAGGACAAAGACTGTGCCTTGTATCTCTTGTGATTCCCCCCACAGGGTCCAGAGCAGTGCCCAGCACACAGCAGCTGCTCAGGAAATGGTGGTTGGTGGTGATACTCATGGTTGGGAATCAGAGGGTGACTGAAGCTCCACGCGTGGGTCCATCTTCAGTCACTACCGAGAAAGTTCCAAGGTACACAGCGTCACTCGTCTCCCACGCTACCTCTAACTCCTGGATCTGCAGGCTTCTTGAGGGAACTCTGATTTCCAGGTACAAGAAGCCATGTTTAGTCTCGACACACCCTCCCCATTAGGTGCTGTACCTTTCCCTCAGAACTTTGCACAGAACAACCCCAGTCATTTGAACGCAATCCTTAGGTACTTCTGGTATGATAAAGTGAATTTGAGTAGCCATTTCTTCATTTGTTTTGGGCCTGGGAATGAGCAGAATACCCATAACCCATGAAGACTTGACTGGAGGTGAAAGACCATTCGACGGGATGACTGATAGGCACTAGAGGTCCCAATCTGCCAGGCTCTTACTTAGATCAGGGGCAAAGAAACAACTGCCCAAGAAACAACAGCATCTAAACCCACAACACCTACTATCACCCAAAATTGGCATCCAGGCAAAACTGGTCTTTCTCTTATTTCTCACCTAGTGAGTGGAATCCTTTTCTAAAGTGTGTGTGGCAGGGACCATCGGCCCCATTCCCGTTCTCCTCTGGATTGTTTTCCTCCTCTACGGCCTGAATGGCTCGAAATGATGATGCCGAAGGTTTCTCCAGTTCGAAAACTGAGGAGTGAAGTGTCTGAACGACCTCTGCCACTCAACCTCACGCCCTCTTTGTCTAGGGCGAATCGTGAGACCCCGGTGGAGACTCGTGGGACTAGAGAACATTAGTTCAGAAACTCCACGCTCCCCTAACCCGCGATCAGGCTGAAAGGGGCACAACGATAACACGCTCTTTAGAGGTTCCTCGGTTTTTACAAATAAAGGCGCCAAGAGGGGTTCGGAACCCAGCTCCTGCCAGCACCCAGGATATCCTCACCAGGTTTCCCTTTTACCTAGCCCCACCGGCGCGTGAACACTGCTCACCTCGCGAGGCAGCGGCACTCGAGTAGAGCGACCGCTATAACTGCAGCGACTTGAGGGATTCTGTTCACAAGCTGGACAGCCAGCCGACAGGCTGTGTACACAGTCGCCATGGCAACAGGACGCTTCCAGAGACTCCGGAAGTACTGTAAGGTGGTGGCGAATCGAAGTCCACATTCCTCCGTTGAAGACACAGGCAAAGTCAGGGCTGAACAAAGAAGACGGAGATGGAGTCAATTAACTTGAAAGGCTCAGAGCAGCTGTATACGCGAAACTGGGATTTAGGTTGTTGGGGGGGGGGGGGGGAAGAAGGCTACGCAGGTATGAACCAGGAAGCGGGGCAGCGAGACTTCCGGTGCAGAGGAATTTGCAAGTACGGTGGCCGCGCAGGCTCGCGGGCTTTCTCCGCGCTCCGAGCTGCCGTCGGCGTGCTCCCTTGCCCCGCCCTGGTTAATGTGAAGCCTACCGGCCAGGCCTGCGCAGTTGCGGCGGCCGGGGAAGATGGTGGAGGACGGCGCGGAGGAGCTGGAGGACTTGGTGCATTTCTCCGTGTCGGAGTTGCCTAGTCGTGGCTACGGCGTCATGGAGGAGATCCGGCGGCAGGGCAAGCTGTGCGATGTGACTCTCAAGGTACCGTGGTCTGGGCGGTGGCTGGCTGAGGGGAAAGCAACCGAGCGGGAAGAAAAAAAGGGGTGGTGGACAGGGGAAGAGAGGTCCAGCGGACTGAGGGTGGAGAGAGGTTAGGGGGGAATAGAGAGGAGAGACAGCGGTGCCAAGCGCAGAGCAGGGGATTGAGGCCAAGTTGGGAGAGGAAAAGAAGCAGCCGTTCAGCCATTGGAAGGAAAGACTGAGAGTTGTGCCGCTGACGCCCTAAGAAAAGGAGACATTGGGGTATCCGCCTCCTTTTCTGTCACACACACAAGAGAAAATGTTCTTATGGCTAGTCTATGAAGGAAGGGGCGGTGGCTGAATCCACATTCCGATGGACACTACTAAAACGTCTTGTCTTGTCATAAAGTCATTTTTTTGTGCTCCTTGAAGTTGGCTGTGCTTTTGTAGAGGCTAAGCCTTCTCTTCGGGAGTCATTGCCTGCCCTTGGCGCTTTTACAATCGGATCTAGAGATCTTTTGATGTGGACTGCTCTGCTCCACACTAGAAAACAACCTACATTCACCACCTAAAGGTCCTGGAGGGCAGGCTAATGGACTGCTTGGGGAGAGGATATATTCGCCACCTGTTCCCTACCAGCATTCTGGTCTGGTGTTCTGTGTTTTGAATCATGCTGGGCTGCTCCTTGATTACACGGCTGAGCCAGGTGGATCCCCTCCAGGTGGGGAGCTGCTGCTTGCCTGTGGGTTTTCCTGCCTGACTTGGCCTGCAAGGCTCTTAGTGTCTGTGCCTGGCGCTCCCTCTTCCTGTTTCAAAACAGCAGAAAGACACAGACACCTTTTAGCTTTTATTTTCTACTTAGTTAAGGAAACTTTGCTTCTCTACGTATTCGAGTCAGACTGCTAAGTAGAGATAGGATGGCTAACAGTTTGGCACTTTAAAAAACAAGAGTCTAAAAATCTGGCTTTGGAGACAAGAGAATTTGCATTAAAATTCTGGCTGTAAGTTGGGCAAGTTACTTAATTTCTCTAAGGTCACCTTTTCCAAATGTGAAGATAAAGATGATTCTTAAATCTCACTATTAGTGAGTATTAAATGGGATATTTGGTATTCTTTGTATGACACCTGTCATAACCTTTTCATCAATCCTGAAAGAAATGGTTTTCTATTAGAGTACTGAAATGGTCTACAAAGGGCTGGGATCTTCCCAGGTAAAAGTCGGAAACCTAGAGGGTTAAGAAAACGAAGCTGGACTAAAGGATGCAGAAGATGACAAGGCCACTAGGAATTTAGACACTGAAGAATGGCTTAATTGTGGCAGTAATATTTGAGATGAGACCAGTGAAAAACAGTAATAAGAAAGAAGTTTTGGGGTAAGATTTAGGCTGTGGACTGGCAGTAGGTTGATTGGGTAAAGGTATTTGCTGCCAAGCCTGACCACCTGAGTTCAATCCCTGGGACCCACAGAGTGGAAGGAAAGAACTGACTCCTGGAAATGGTCCTCTGACCACCACAGGTATGCTGTGGCACACACACACAAGCACACACACACACATGATGAATAAAAATGTCTTTTAAAAGATCTAGGCTGTTCCAGATCGTGGTAGTACATGCCTTTAGACCCAATACTCAGGAGGCAGAGCCAGGCAGATGGGTTTGAGACCAGCCTGGTCTCCAGCATGATTTCCAGGACAGCCAGGTATACACAGAGAAACCCTATCTCAAAACAAACAAACAAAAAGCCTAGGTTAGAACTAGACATGACTGTAGACTCTTCTATAAACAAAAAGCCTAGGTTAGAACTTGACATGACTGTAGACTCTTCTATAAACAAAAAGCCTAGGTTAGAACTTGACATGACTGTAGACTCTTCTATACAGCCTCAGAGAGCTCAATGGTGCTGAGAGCCATAGAAAGGCAAAGCCTACATCTTACTGCTCACAACAAGAGCTGTTCTCATAGTCAAGTCTTTCCTCAAACTTCTGATGAGTCCTGGCTGTTTCCCAGGTAAACCTGCACTGAAGAGCTGGTGAGAGGCTTTTTGGCATGTGATGATTTAGTAACTAGTTGCCCCCATTAGGGTAATGGTTCTTCAATTTAAGCAGGTATTAGAGTCACCCGAGAATTTCCGACTCATAGGTATTGCATGGGCCCTGTCCAGTTCACCAGCGATGCTGTCGTCTCGTACTACATCCCGAGAACCAAGCTATAGAAGAGAAGACCTGTCCTTTCAGAGTATATTCAGAATCAGTGAATCTTCCTTGTATTCAGGGATGCCCCCAGTTACCCAAGTCTGGAGTCACGAGTTCATCCTAATCAGAGGGTAATCCACCTGTTTTTTATTAGGGCAATGACAGAGCAGCTGCCTGCCTGGTCGAGGGACCAGTACTGCCAGTTTGGGGCCTCTCCTCATGACACACCTTCAGAGGAGACTGGTGTTCCTAGTGCTCGGAGCTGGAGGCTTGACCTCCGCATTGCTCAGAATTCTCCATCAAGTCAGGCACTGGCTTTTCTGGTTTTCATCTTGTAATCATTTGTTGATGTTTCTAATCTCTTGCTGTTCTGTATTTGGGAACTCTGCTGTTGTGATGAGAGGCAGTTATGGCAGACTCTGCACGGATCTGCGTCCTGGGTCTGCCACTTCATAGCTGACAGGACTTCAATTCCTTAGATGCTAGTGAGTCAGTCTATTTCTCTGTAAATGGACATCATCACCTACCTGAGTACTGAAGATTCAATTACTTAATGAGCTTCAAACTTCATGTAATAAATGCTCAGTGAATAGTAGTATTTGTGTTTTATTGTTTGTTTGTTTATTGTATGTGTGTATGTGTGTGCCTGGTGCCCTTAGTGGCCAGAGAGGACATTGATCCCGTAGAACTACAGTAACAGATGGGTGTGAATTGCTATGTGGGTGCTGGGAATCAAACCTGAGTCCTTTGGAAGAGCAGCCAGCGCTCTTACCACAGAGCCATCTCTCCAGCCCTTAACAATGATATTTCAAGAGATTAGATCTTAATGTGTTGAACAGGCTGGCCCAAAACTCTTGTGCTCAAGTTGTCTTCTTGCCTTATTTTCCAAGTAACTGGAACTATAGGCACATGCCGTTGCATCTGACTCATTAATAATAATTTAATGATGTTTCCAGAGAAAGTATAAATAAATGTATGTGTTCCATTTGCAGGGTTTTTCTTTGTTTTATTTGTATTTTGTTGTTTGTTTGTTTTCAAGACAGGGTCTCACTATGTAGCTCTGGCTGTCCTGGAACTCACTATGTAGACCTGGCTGACTTTGAACTCACAGATCTGCCTGCCTCTGTCTCCCAAGTGCTGGGATTAAAGGCTATTTGTGTTTGTTTTTTGAGACGTGGTCTCAAGTGTCCTGAGCCAGAATTTGCTAAGTAACTGAGAATGACCTTGAATTTGTGATCCTCTTGTTTTGGGTATTCAGATTAAAGACGAGCCTCACCACACTTGGTCTTAGGGTGCAGTTTCGAATTTATCTGAGTTTATTTATGTTCCTTGCCTGCAAAGAATTTGCAATCAATACACTGCTCTACTTTAAATGCTTGCATTTAACAGTTGAGACCAAGTGCAGAAAGGGCTTGTGCAAGGTCACAGGCTGGATTAGGCGAAAGTAGGGTTAGATGTAATCTCCATGCTCTTGTGTTACTTCTGTGACGGACACAGGCTGCACTGAGTTCAGTTACACGTTTGTGACTTTGAATTAAGCCACATCAGTTCATGTGCACCCACTCTTAACCTACACGTCCTCTTCTTCCCTCTCTCCCCACGGCAGAGTGAGAGTGAACATCCAAGGCTCTTACAGCCTCACAGCTCACTGCTAATGCTTGGACATAGATTCACTTTGCCTTTGGAAATATTTAAATTTAAATTCCTTGGTAACCATTTGGATAGTTAGGTAGGAGTATGGCAGAAAAGAGTAATATATTCATTTTTTTTTAAATGTGTGGAGGTAACACACCTTTAAACCCAGCACTGTGAAGGCAGAAGCTGGCAGATCTCTGTGAGTTCCAGGCTAGAGCTACACAGTGAGACCCTGTCTCTAAACTAATTAATTAATTATTTAAAAATAGAGTAAAGCCCCCTTTCTATTTGTAATAATTTGAACTTCTTATTTCATACCCATGTTTCTTCTCTTTGGCATGAATGGCTAGAAGTTAGTACGGGGCTTTTTGGCAACCTATGGGATGTGACTGAGGAGGTTCTCCTCGTCCCATTTCCTCTCCGTTCCTCCAACAGACACCCAAGGTTAGGCAGTGTGCATCAGCTTCATCTGGGTCCAGCCAGCAGGGCAGAAGCCCCAGCTCCCAGATTCAGGGAGTATTCTCTTCTCCCTCGTGAGATCTCAAGTCAGCAGGTGCTTTGTTTCTGTTTCCCCTCAACTCACACACCCTTCTTCTGTGTTTGTGAAACAGAAGGGGAAGAATATCACCAACCCTGCTTATTTAGTGTTCAGACCTGTAAACCTAAAGGAGAGAGAGGAGGACTGTGTGTGGTGTTTGTGTGGTGTGGGTGGGTGTGGGGTATGTCAGAGTGTGATGTGTGTGTGGTGTGGGTGTGATGTGTGGGTGGGTGTGGGGTATGTGTGAGTGTGATGTGTGTGTGTGTGGTGTGGACATGATGTGTGTGGTGTGGGTGTGATGTGTGTGGTGTAGGTGTGATATGTGGGTGGGTGTGGGGTATGTGTGAGTGTGATGTGTGTGGTGTGTGTGTGGTGTGGGTGTGATGGGTGTGTGTGGTGTGGGTGTGATGTGTGGTATGGGGTATGTGTGAGTGTGTGTGTGTGATGTGTGTGGAGTGTGTGTGGGGTATGTGGGGAGGTCAGAATACAACTTTGTAGAGCTGATTCTCCCATCTTTATATGAATTGTGAGGGTTGAACTCAAATCAGAGGGTCTTGTATGTCCGACATTTGACCTGACAGCCATCTCTCCTGTTCCTGCTAAAGTTTTGAACTAGGATCTGAGAATGTAGCCTCCAGAAAGAAATGCGAAAGACA